TCCCCTCTTCCCAAACGTCCCTTTTGCTCTTTCCCGGGCCAAAAATTAAATTTTTAAAACCTCATGGGTTCCCACAGAACTTTTTCCAAAATGCATCAGGTTTGTTAAGTTCATTTGCAAAGTTCAAACATGATTTTTGGTGGGCCCTTAAAAAGGTTTTTCTTCGTGACTCTTCCGAAGACCATATTTGTAAAAGTACTCTTTATATGGAATGTACCACAACTCCAGTGTCTGCCAGATCTTTCTGGAGGGATCGTGCATCAAACGTGGGTTTTTCAATTTTTTTTTCCCACAATCCTGCGAGCTGTTCTGTCTGATATTTTTCTTGGTCTTCCGATTTGCTTTTAACTTCCCAAAGTTCCTGAGATCCATTTCTTAATGAAATTCCGAACAGGGGATTTTTGAAACTAAAACGCTTTGCTACTTCTTAAGCCTTCTCCAGCTTTGTGAGCGTAACTTTTTTTCAGTTTCAGTTTTCTAGCAACTGTTTAGAAGAACCCATGTGCTGATTGTTGGGGAAAGGGTCAATGATCTGGGCATTAAAACCTTTGGATTGACACCCTGGCTTCCCAGCCGATGATTGAAAAACAATCCATGACATGGCGGGGTCTCAGCTTGGCAAAGGGGCAGTGCATGCTAAAATTTTCTGCAGGGGCCCAAACTTTTGCAGACGCATTTTTTTGTTTTTTGTTTTTTTGAAAGGTAAAAAAATGAAAAAAATCAACTTTTGTTGAATAAAAAGAATGTTTAAACTGAATTTGATGCCTTTTTGGGGATTTTCCATCTTTCCTTGGCTTCTTTTTGCAATTAATACACATTTTAGTGGGGTGCCCAAACTTTCCATCCCCAATTATTAAAAGGGGGCGCTATTATACCTTAATAATACAGCACGTATGTCCTCATCAGCACATAGAATCAGGGCGGTGATTTTTTCATGTGTTTTAAATTTCATCTCTGTAAAAATCGTCTCATTCTTCTTTCTGCAGTGACTTGGAACTGGTCGTGTTTGAGCCGGAGTTCTGGTCACCCAGTTCTATAGACGACGTACATTTACATCTGGGACATCAAGTAAGTTTCATCCGGCAGGAAACTAAAACCCCAAAGTGTTTGACGGGGATATAGAAAATAGAGCGTCTGGGGGGGGGGGGGTAAGATCCTCTGTCTCACGTTGCTTGGCTATTAGTTTTACTATTAAAGGGAAGACTAGCCTCCGGGCACAACAGCCGCAGAAACCACCTGTGACGTCGATCTATCTACCCAGGACATTAGTGAATGCACACAGTCATGTGATCCATGCCAGGCTGTTTTTCCTAATATTGGGGTATTGATTTAAGATTCAAGAGGTCCGGTCCCTAGAATGTTCGTCAGCTGGCTGAGGTCCGGGTCTCAGGTTTGGGGCTCTGACAGAGTTGTATGCTGACATTTTTATTAATATTTGCCATGATTATGTTGAGATCATGGCAGCAATTCCTAAACCCCTCCCCTAATGTGGAATATACATACCCTCGAATTACACCTCATAGTGCGCACTGTCCCCAGCCCCAGATCCATTCTAGAACTAGAGCTTGAATATGTTTTTGGTCAATACCTGACAAAATCTAATGTTGTGCCTGTGTCCTCTATGTATGGACCGGACTGTCCTCTATGTATGGACCGGACTGCCGTCCTCTATGTATGGACCGGACTGTCCTCTATGTAATGGACCGGACTGTCCTCTATGTATGGACCGGACTTGTCCTCTATGTATGGACCGGACTGTCCTCTATGTATGGACCGGACTGTCCTCTATGTATGGACCGGACTGTCCTCTATGTATGGACCGGACTGTCCTCCTGAGTGTGTTGTGGACCGGACTGTCCTCCTGAGTGTGTGTGGACCGGACTGTCCACTCCTGAGTGTGTGTGGACCGGACTGTCCTCCTGTGTGTGTGGACCGGACTGTCCTCCTGAGTGTGTGTGGACCGGACTGTCCTCCTGAGTGTGTGTGGACCTCACTGTCCTCCTGAGTGTGTGTGGACCGGACTGTCCTCCTGAGTGTGTGTGGACCGGACTGTCCTCCTGAGTGTGTGTGGACCGGACTGTCGTCCTGTGTATGGACCGGACTGTCTCAGGAGACTGAATTTCCAGCGTCTCGTAGGTTAAGTGAAAACGTTGCCAAACTCTCATCCATTCCTGACTGCATTCTGTTTCTTTCTCAGGGATACAAGGAAACCAAACTGTGTCCTTGTCTGCCGTGGGTGAGTGCCCTTCATTTTGGTGACATGTTGGGTCATGATGGCCACGTGACCTCCCATGTGTTTACAATGTCATCCCTCGTTTCTAATCCATTTACGATTCGGGACGACACATCCTATGGAAACCCAAGAAGCCATTTTATCCTCAAATGCCCTGCAGGCTCCCAGATTTCCAAGCATTCTTGTAAACGGACTAAAGTAGAACTGAACAAAATCAAGATTTTCTATGTGATAGAACATTTGGTGAATTTTAATTATGCCTCAGGAGTACCCTTAAAAAATGTCCCCCCCCCCCCTCCCCCTCCCTTTTTTTATTCCTACTTAATCATAGCGTTGCTGTTCTTTGTATGAGTGTGCTCATACAGCTATACTTTATATCAGCAGTGTGAGATCTAAGGCACTGCTTGACACTGAGAACAAGGTATCATTAGGTATACACTATATTGCCCAAAGTATCGTCCCCACCGCCCTCCAAATCATGTGATTCAGGTGGTTCCAATCCCCTCCATATCATGTGATTCAGGTGTTCCAATCCCCTCCATATCATGTGATTCAGGTGTTCCAATCCCCCCTCCATATACTCTGTGATTCAGTGTGTTCCAATCCCCTCCATATCATTGTGATTCACAGGTGTTACCAATCCCGTCCATATCATGTGATTCAGTGTTGCAATCCCCTCCATATCATGTGATTCAGGTGTTTGCAATCCCCTCCATATCATGTGATTCAGGTGTTTGCAATCCCCTCCATATCATGTGATTCAGGTGTTGCAATCCCCTCCATATCATGTGATTCAGGTGTTCCAATCCCCTCCATATCATAGTGATTCAGGTGTTCCAATCCCCTCCATGGACACAGGTGTATACAATCAAGCCCCCTAGGCATGCAGACGGCTTCTACAAACATTGGTGAAAGAATGGGTCGCTCTCAGGAGCTCAGTGACTCCAAGCGTGGTCCCGTGATAGGTTGGCCCTACCTGGGCAATAAGACACACCGTGACATTTCCTGGCTACTAAATATTCCATCGCTCAACTGTTAGTGGGATTATAACAAAGTGGGAAGCAACTGGGAACAACAGCAACTCAGCCACCAAGTGGTAGGCCACGTCTCATGACAGGATGGGGTCAGCGCATGCTGAAATGCGCACAGAGTGCGCAGAAGTCCACCAACTGTCTGCAGAGTCAATAGCTAAAGAACCCTCCAAACTTGGTGTGGCCTTCAGATGAGCCCAACAACAGTGAGTAGTAGGAGAGCTTCATGGAATGGGTTTTCCATGGCCGAGCAGTCTGCATCCAAGCCTTCCACCATCATCAAGTTGCAATGCAAAGCGCTCGGATGGTGTGGTGTAAAGCACACCGCCACACTTGGCCGGACTAGAGCACTGAGAGGCCTGTTCTCTGGAGGGACCAATCACACTTCTCTGTCTGGCAATCTGATGGACATGTCTGGGTTTGGCGGTGGCCAGAGAAACGGTGCTTGCCTGACTGCATTGTGCCAAGTGTAAATTTTGGTGGAGTGGGGATTATGGTGTGGGGGGTGTCCCTCAGGGTTGGCTTGGCCCCCTTCCTAGTTCCAGTGAAGGGAACTTTTAAGGTGACATTTTGGAAAATTTAATGCTCCCAACCTTTTTAGAAGTTTGGGGATGGTCCCCTTCCTGTTTCCAACATGACTGCGCACCAGTGCACAAAGCAAGGTCCATAAAGACATGGAGGAGCCAGTTTGGGGTGGAGGAACTATGACTGTCCTGCACAGAGTCCTGACCTCAACCCCATAGAACACCTTTGGGATGAATTAAGCGAAGACTGTGCGAGCCAGGAGGCTCCTCCCCGACATCAGTCAGCCCTGACCTGAACAAATGATGTGCTTCAGGAAGAATGGTCCAACCTTCCCATAGACACCCTCCTAAACCTTGTGGGATGGCCTTCCCAGAAGAGTTGAAGCTGTTATAGCTGCAAAGGGGCGGGCCAACTCAATATTGTAACCCTACGGACTAAGACTGGGGGGGACATTAAAGGTCATGTGAGTGTGGAAAGAGCGGGGTGCCAACTCCATATTGAACCCTACAGACTAAGACTGGGGGGGCCATTAAAGGTCGTGTATGGAAAGGCCGGACAGCCCAATACTGCATGCAATATAAGCTATGATTATTAGCTGGGGGCGGGTCAAGGGCTGAGTATACATGGATCCCCGGCGCTCAAGAAATCTATATTTGTATAGGATCTTTGGGGGGGGGCAGAAGGAGATTTAGTGCCATGTATGATGGATAGGGTAATGTTTTTACCTTTTTAAATCTTACACTTTTAAAGAAGCCAAAGGTTTGACTCCAATGATGGCCCCAAAGTGTCTCTATTGGTGGGTGAAATGAGAGAAAAATTCTTGGTTGTTGGATCAACCATAGAAAGCCACAGAGCCACTTAGAACCTCCTAGAACCCCCTCTGTGCAGCTGCTAGGCAGCTTTATCTGTAGGACAATCCAGTGATGCACGATGTTTATTGTATATGTGTGACTTGGAGATGATGTGTGTCTCATGCAGCTGTGCCTTTTCCCAAGTGAAATGGAACAAAAAGAATGGGAATTTCCTCGCTACAAGCCATGATTGAGATGTCAGGGCATCTGGGATCGCAGGTAAGTGATGCATGTTTGGCATAATCTGAAGTCTGCAGGCTGGTAGGTTTTCATACTGCAGGCCTTTTCTCAACCAGGGTGTCCCAGACAACTTGGGGTGCCTTGGGGTTTCTTCAGGTTGCCTTGGGGTTTCTTCAGGGTTGCCTTTGGGGTTTCTTCAGGGTTGCCTTGGTGTTCCTTCAGGGTTGCCTTGGGGTGCCTCTCAGGGGTGCCTTGAGGTTTCTTATTCAGGGTGCCTTGAGGTTCTCTTCAGGGGTGCCTTGGCAAAATGTATAAAAACATTGCTCAAAAAACCTGTATACAAGCCAGTGGGTGGAACAAGCCCGCCTTTTAGTTACATAAAGCCATGGGTTTTCATTGGCCACCATTATGACCTTCTAGCCGCCGGCATCCTGACAACCAATGACATCATCAGTTGATAAGGAGATATCAGCTGCCTGCACAGCATCCTAGTTTGACCCTCCCCCGCCCATCTCCATCAGTGCTGGGGTCACATTAGCTCAGTGAAGGAGAAAAACTGAGGTATAGGAGAAACATAGTCATACCAGTGTGGCAAAAGTGGATTTGCTTTGGAAGAATAAATCCCCTCTAATGTTGGGTGTCCTCCAATGTGTGGGTGTTGCTGCGTTTTTATAAAACTATTAGAATCGGTTTTTCACACTTTAGAATGGCAGTCTACTGAGCAGGGCTGTAAAAGCAATCATTTCTCCTTCTCTGGCTGCATTCCTCCAGCCACTGAGAAATACTGTGAGAGCTGTGATTGGTCATAAATCTTGGCCAAAATGTATTCAGCTATCTTTTTAGTGAAAAAAAAAAAAAAGCCCAAATTAGTTTCTAACCAAAAATTCTGAATTTTCAAAAAACATATATGTGTGTGTGTGTTTATAATTTTTATAAACTTATTTTTTTATTTATAATTTATTTTATTTATTTTTTTAAATACAATTTTAAAATGGTTTAATTACAGAAACCGTGCAGAATAAAGCAACATGTTCATGATACGCCCCCCCACCCTGTTTTTTTTCCTTCATTCCCCCTCCACTTCTGCAACCTTTGCAGAATCGCTCAATTTAAAATTTTCCTTTTTGTAACATTTCAGGTTTTTAAAAGCTTCAGTTTTTTTTTTTTTTTTCAGAGACCGAGCACTGCTGTAGAGTACATCGCTGCGCACTTATATAAGATCCATGGACTGGACTGGCATCCTGATAATGAGCACAATCCTGGCCACGTCCAGCCAGGACAACTCTGTAAAGGTAATCTGCCCTGGGGGGGGGTAAAAATTCTCTACTCTCTTTTAGAAGCACTCCGGACCTTAACCACTTCCAGTCCGGACACTTCCCCCCCCCCCCCCCCCCCTTCCAGTCCGGACACTTCCCCCCGCCCCCCCCCCCTTCCTGTCCGGACACTCCCCCCGCCCCCCCCCCTTCCTGTCCGGACACTCCCCCCGCCCCCCCCCCCTTCCTGTCCGGACACTCCCCCCGCCCCCCCCCCCTTCCTGTCCGACACTCCCCCCGCCCCCCCCCCTTCAGGTCCGGACACTTCCCCCCCCCCTTCAGGTCCGGACACTTCCCCCCCCCCCCCCCTTCAGGTCCGGACACTTCCCCCCCCCCCCCCCCCTCAGGTCCGGACACTTCCCCCCCCCCCCCCCCCTTCAGGTCCTGACACTTCCCCCCCCCCCCCCCCCCGCTTCAGGTCCGGACACTTCCCCCCCCCCCCCACTTCCCCCCCCCCCCTTTCTCAGGTCCGGACACTTCCCCCCCCCCCCCCCCTCAGGTCCGGACACTTCCCCCCCCCCCCCCCCCCTTCAGGTCCGGACACTCCCCCCCCCCCCTTCAGGTCCGGACACTTCCCCCCCCCCCCCCCCCCCTTCAGGTCCGGACACTTCCCCCCCCCCCCCCCCCCCTTCAGGTCCGGACACTTCCCCCCCCCCTTCAGGTCCGGACACTTCCCCCCCCCTTCAGGTCCGGACACTTCCCCCCCCCCCCCCTTCAGGTCCGGACACTTTCCCCCCCCCCCCCCCCCCTTCCGGTCCCCACTCCCCCCCCCTTCCCCCTTTCACCCCCTTTCTGCCCAGGCCGATTTTCAGCTTTCAGCACTATCGCACTTTGAATGACAATTGCGCGGTCATCATGCAACACTGTACCCATATGAATTTTTTAGCATTTGTTTTGAGAAAGCTAAAGCTTTATTTTGGTGGTATTTATTCACCGCTGGGATTTTTATTTTTTTTTTTTTGCTATGTAAATGAAAAAGTCCAAAAAGTTTTTGAAAAGTATTTTTTCTTATAAAATATTGCAAATAAATAATATTTCATCATAAATCTTGTCAAAAATGTATTCCGTTATCTTTTTGGTAAAAACAAAAAACCTAAATGTGTTTATAACCAAAAATTATAATTTTTAAACATCTTTTTTTTTACATTTTTATTTTTTTTTTATATTGTGGGTTTTTTTTTACATACTGTAACCCTAGCAGTACAGTCACCATGGTGACACTGTACTACTTGTGGGAAGTGATGAAGATTTTTTTTTTTTTTTTTTTTTACACGGATTGCTTTTACACCCATAAAGGCAGTAAAAGCAATAATTTCTCCTCTCTGGCTGCATTCCTGCAGCCATTGAGAAATACTGTGAGAGCTGTGATTGGTCACAGCTTGTCACATGGTACAAAGCTGTTGCTGTGAATAGCCCTGTACCATGTGATCTCTGTGATCATTCACAGATTTCACATGTAGTAAGCAATGATGTCAGAAGTGACATCTTGCTTACTACTCTGCATGTGATCACTGATTGGCCAATCAGTGATCACTTGATCGGGACCTCACAGAGAGGTCCCGTACGACGTTCCGATCCAGAGGACACAGCAGGCACCGGATCGCGCACAAGCAGGGGGCATGGAGGCCGTTTATAAACACCCACCTGACCCCTGCGCTGCCACCGTCTGGCCGTTTATATACAATGGCCGGACGTGAGGTGGTTAATAAAAGGATAAATGTGGGATGGTAGGGGTGTGTCTAAAGGCTGGCCTCGGGCTGACCAAACAAATTCAACAGATTTCTCCATCCAGAGCGGATAGGACAAATCTCCCCTGCTGGCTTTTGTCATTTATATACGGAGTATTTTGACCAGTGATTGTATCTGGATGCAGCCGCTGTTCAGACATGTTTCCACCCAGCTACTTTGGCCCTATTTTTCCTGCTGGTCACATGACTGCACTTAGTTCTGCCCTCTTGTGACCCATATTCAGCCGACAGCTGGCAAGGCTCTGGAGGGATCCCGAATTGGAATGTCATGATCCACCCAGATGCCTGAGTGACAGCTAGCCCCCCCCTCTGAGCATGTCTCCGAGAGCCTGAGCCATCTGCCCCCTCCACAGCCTGGCGGTCCAATGAGTGCTGGAGGGGCATAGCAGAAAGCTGGTGACTGACATTCACCACGCTCTGCTCACTGCAGACTGAGAACTGAGCGATCAGCAGCCGTTGATCACCCAGTTCTCCATCTTATGCAGGCCATACATGGTTCGAATTCCGAACGGTTTTTCGTCCTAAAAACAAAAACGCAGTTCGCTCGGTAATCCGACGGCGCCATCAATGATTTAGAAAATCGGCCGACCCAGTCATAAAGTTCACCCCATATAACAGGCGCAACTTCTGTTCCTTCCAGGTCATGGCTCATGCGTGTATTCTTTTCGGAAAAACGATCGTACGATTTGACCATCATTGAGTCGAAAATTGGTCGTTTTTCACGAATTTTCCAACACGCCCGGTCACCGAAAAGGGGAGGAACCAGGAAAATCAGCCGGTGCCATTGACCCCACTAACAGAGAGAAAATCGGCCGATTATTCTTAGGTCCAACGAAAAATCGTTCGAATTTTGTCCCATGTATGGCCGGCATAATTGTTCTTTTTTCTTTCATTATCTTTTCTATTTCAGTTCTGGGATTGGCGGCAGCCCCGGAAATGTTTCAGCGTCCTGGCCTGTCAAGTGCCTGTGTGGAAGGCTCGCTACACAGTAAGTTTTTACCCCCCCCCCCCCCATGTTTTCCAAGATGGAAGACGGTTCACAGAAGTCCTGAGCTGCTTGTCCTTGAAATATGCTTTTCCGTTGTTTAAACCCCTCCCCCTCCAGAGGATCCCCCCCTCTCCTGACCAGGCCATTTTTTGCGATACGGCGCTGTTACTTTAACTGATAATTGCGCGGTCATACAACACCGTACATAAATTACATTTGTCTTTCTTTTTTTTTTTTTTTCCTCCCCCGCACAAGTAGAGCTTTCTTTCGGTGGTATTGGATCACCTCTGCATTTTTTGCGCTATAAGCAAAAAAAACGACCGTTTTGAGAAAAATATTTTTTACTTTTTGCTATAAAACATATCCAATAAAATTGAAAAAATCTAATTTTTTTTTTAATTTTTTTACTGGACATGTTTAATAGCAAAAAGTAAAAATATTGATTTTTTTTTTTTCTCAAAACAGTTGGTCTTTTTTTGCTTATAGCGCAAAAATAAAAACCGCACAGGCGATCAAATACCACCGAAAGAAAGCTCAATCCGTGGGAAAAAAAAAAAGGATTTAAATTTAATCTGGGTGCAGCATTGCATGACCGCGCAATTGTCAGTTTAAAATAATGTAGCCCCGTAATGCAAAAAGTGGACCTGGTCAGGAAGAGGGGAGGGGGGGGGCAAGTGGTTAAAAAAAAAAAAAAAAAACAACAAAATTCAGCAAAAACACATGTAGAAATGCAAAAAGCAAACTGCGTAGGTGTGAACGGAGCCATATTAGTCGCTTTTTGGTTGGATAACTGCAGGCTGTAAGCTGGTTGAATTTCCTTCACTCAGTTCTGTACAAACCTCACCCCTGACAGCCAAAAATACTTTCTTACACAAACCCTTCACTTTTTTTTTTTGGTTTTGTTTCCCTTTTTTTGTGAACTATTGGCTTTAATACTTTTTGAAACACAGACCTGGAACAAGTATTTAGTTTAGGAATGTCCGAGAGAACCATTTTTTTTTTTTTTGGGTATCGTTCATTTGCGCATGTTGCTGAAACGCGGCCTTTTGTCTCCTGATGACTTCAGCCCTTCAGCAACGGCCTGGTAACAGTCATGGTCCCCCAGCTGCGGAGGGAGAACAGCCTTCTACTTTGGAACGTCTACGACCTCCACTCTCCGGTTCACATCTTTGTGGGGCACGACGACGTGGTCCTCGAGTTCCACTGGAGGAAGCAGAAAGAAGGTTGGTCTTCACAGTACATTGGTGTCACCCAAACCATTTGTCCTCATTAGGCGACCTCTTGTATGTAAACCCAAAAAAAAAATAAATTGCAACTTTGGTCAAACTATAAAATCACATTTGTGATGTAGACTGCCCATACCAGTTGTAACAGAACCGACCCAGTCTGCGCTCGGCGGATTTCCGTTAGACTACCGCTTCCCCGTCCGAACGCCGACCACAGAGGCCCATACAAGACCAGACGACACCAGTCTGTCTCTATATTTGAAACTAACTTGCTTTTTATACACTCGGTACAATCCCCCCCCCTCCCTGCATAATGACACAGGGCGGGGCAATCTACACTTCCTAACAAGAGACACACAGGTATTCAAACTTCACACCAGCAGACAGCCCCATCAGGAGGGAGGGCTGCTGGAGACTACCCCCCCCCCCACCAAGCCAATACACATAAACACATACATCCCATAATAGTTTGCTCCCAAGCCAGACAAACAATAGAACAATGGGATGCAACCACATGACATTAAACAACAATCCCCACCCCCATATTAGGACAGATCACCCTGTACCCCTAACAGGCACAGGGTGACTTACACATAAGAGGGATATGGGAGCTGAGGCAGGGGTCTCCCCACCTCTCCAAAGAGAGCTGTGTTCCATGGGACTCCCACCCAAAGTGACTCCCAGTTGCTTGTCAACACTAGGCCTGCCTTCCAGTACCCACTGGAACATTTTCTAAGTACCTGCTGATTCTGTTGGTAGAACCCTTAGTAAGAAGTCCCTTCTAGTGATGGGCCGAGCACCCCCTCCTCCCTGGGAGGTGAGTCTATGGGACTCGAACTTGTAAATTCAGAAGTTCCCATTGTGAACGCTTATACACCAGTTATTGGCCATAAAAGAGGTATGGGGACCCGGGTAGTGCCCCGAGGGACATGAATCGGTGAAAAAAAAAACAAAATTCAAAACTGTTTTTTAAAGGAGCAGTAATTTTTCATTGCTTAAAGTGTAAAAAGAAAACAAAATTCCTTTAACCGCTTGCCGCCCGGCCTATAGTCAAATGACAGCGGGTGAACACCTCGTCCCTCCGGGAGGGCGTTATGACGTCCTTCCCGGACCGCGCTTGCACTTGCCCGAAGGGCCGCGCTGTGGCGAGATCTGTCACCGGCCGTTCACCTCGACAGATCTATGCTAAAAATAATTCATAATACGTGTAAATTTATTGGTTTACATGAAAGTTATAGCGTCTACAAATGGCGGGATATGAACTGGGATTTTAAATTTATTTTTTCTTTTGTACTGGTAATGGCTTATAGCGGACTGCGTCGGGCATTCTGACACTGGGGGGGGGGGAACTGGCTTGGTGTCACTGACATCCCCAGTGACACCAATACAGTGATCAGTGCTAATAAAAAGCCCTGACACTGTACTAATGGCACTGGGCAGGAAGGAGTTAAAATGTGGGGTGATCAATGGGTTAACTGTGTGCTGTTTTACTGTGCGCTGTGTGTGCGCTTCACTGTAAGCACACTGCTATGCAAAGCCATACAAAGTATTGTGCAGGAGCTGATGGGAGAGAACTGAATTATTTACTTACAGTTCTCTTCCTCTGTTGACCCGGGTGATTGACAGCCGAGGAGGGCCGTGAATAGCGTCGCGGGTAGGGCTCGTGCGCCCCCTACCCGGAAGTGCAAAATCACGTGTGTGTGTGTGTGTGTGTGTGTGTGTGTGTGTGTGGTGTATATATATCTCGTTATACTGTTGTGAATGGCCCTGTACTATGTGATCTTTGTGATCTTTCACAAGTAGTGAGCAGTGATGTCAGGAAGTGACATCTTGCTTGCTACTCTGCATGTGATTACTGATTGACCAATCTGTGATCACATGATCGGATGATCGGGACCTTGCACAGAGGTCCTGTACAGTGATCTGTGTTCTGGACACAGCGGGCACCGGATCACGGTGCCGCGCGCTCCCAGGGAGCACACACAGGCAGGGAAGACGGAGGAAGTTTATAAACGGCCACCCGACCCTTCAGTGCTCCCATATGGCCGTTTATGTACGTGGGTCAGACAGGAAGTGGTTAAGGAAATGATGTAAAAGTTCTGACCGCTTCCTCCTGTGTGATACTGATATTAATAAATTTGTGTTCTTAATAGGAACCTAGCGTGTATGTACCAAGTGCAGTGCAGTCAGTATTTCTCTTCTTCCCTTCAGGACAGAAGGACTATCAGCTGGTGACCTGGTCTCGGACCAGACACTACGAATGTGGAGGGGTGGATGCCCAGCTTCAGCGGGTAAGATCATCAAGCTGTAGCCAGAGTCTAGTTGCCAGTTCACATATATGCAGACTGAATGCGGTTTGAACATGTGGGGCCTGACCACATACACTATATTGCCCCAAGTATTGGTTGGCCGGCCTTTCCACACACATGACCTTTAATGGCCCCCCAGTCTTAGTCCGTAGGGTTCAGTATTGAGTTGGCTCCGCCATTTCCACACACGACCTTTAATGCCGGCCCCTTAGTCTTGGTCCGTAGGGTTCATATTTGGCCCCGCCCTTTCCATGCACATGACCTTTAATGGCGACTTCTGCGCACTGTGCGCTTCAGCATGCGCTGACCCCGCCCTGTAATGTGACGTGGCCTAACACTTGGTGGCTGAGTGGCTGTTGTTCCCAGTGGCTTCCACTTTGTTATAATCCCACTAACAGTTGAGCGTGGAATATTTAGTAGCCAGGAAATGTCACGGATGGACTTATTGCACAGGTGGCCACCTATCACGGGGACCACACGCTTGGAGTCACTGAGCTCCTGAGAGCGACCCATTCTTTCACCAATGTGTGTAGAAGCCGTCTGCATGCCTAGGGGCTTGATTGTATACATCTGTGTCCATAGAGGGGATTGGAACACCTGAATCACATGATATGGAGGGATTGGAACACCTGAATCACATGATATGGAGGGGATTGGAACACCTGAATCACACGTGATATGCAGGGGATTGGGACACCCTGAATCACGTGATATGGAGGGGATTGGGACACCTGAATCACGTGATATGGAGGGGATTGGGGACACCTGAATCACGTGATATGGAGGGGATTGGGGACACCTGAATCACGTGATATGGAGGGGATTGGAACACCTGAATCACGTGATATGGAGGGGATTGGAACACCTGAATCACGTGATATGGAGGGGATTGGGACACCTCACGTGATATGGAGGGGATTGGGACACCTGACGTGATATGGAGGGGGATTGGGACACCTGAATCACGTGATATGGAGGGGATTGGGACACCTGAATCACGTGATATGGAGGGGATTGGGACACCCTGAATCACGTGAATGGAGGGGATTGGGACACCTGAATCACGTGATATGGAGGGGATTGGGACACCTGAATCACGTGATATGGAGGGGATTGGGACACCTGAATCACGTGATATGGAGGGGATTGGGACACCCTGAATCACGTGATATGGAGGGGATTGGGACACCTGAATCACGTGATATGGAGGGGATTGGGACACCTGAATCACGTGATATGGAGGGGATTGGGACACCTGAATCACGTGATATGGAGGGGATTGGGACACCTGAATCACGTGATATGGAGGGGATTGGGACACCTGAATCACGTGATATGGAGGGGATTGGGACACCTGAATCACGTGATATGGAGGGGATTGGGACACCTGAATCACGTGATATGGAGGGGATTGGGACACCTGAATCACGTGATATGGAGGGGATTGGGACACCTGAATCACGTGATATGGAGGGGATTGGGACACCTGAATCACGTGATATGGAGGGGATTGGGACACCTGAATCACGTGATATGGAGGGGATTGGGACACCTGAATCACGTGATATGGAGGGGATTGGGACACCTGAATCACGTGATATGGAGGGGATTGGGACACCTGAATCACGTGATATGGAGGGGATTGGGACACCTGAATCACGTGATATGGAGGGGATTGGGACACCTGAATCACGTGATATGGAGGGATTGGGACACCTGAATCACGTGATATGGAGGGGATTGGGACACCTGAATCACGTGATATGGAGGGGATTGGGACACCTGAATCACGTGATATGATATGTGAGGAGGGGATTGGGACACCCTGAATCACGTGATATGGAGGGGATTGGGACACCTGAATCACGTGATATGGAGGGGATTGGGACACCTGAATCACGTGATATGGAGGGGATTGGGACACCTGAAATCACGTGATATGGAGGGGATTGGGACACCTGAATCACGTGATATGGAGGGGTGATAAGGAGGGACACCTGAATCACGTGATATGGAGGGGATTGGGACACCTGAATCACGTGATATGGAGGGGATTGGGACACCTGAATCACGTGATATGGAGGGGATTGGGACACCTGAATCACGTGATATGGAGGGGATTGGGACACCTGAATCACGTGATATGGAGGGGATTGGGACACCTGAATCACGTGATATGGAGGGGATTGGGACACCTGAATCACGTGATATGGAGGGGATTGGGACACCTGAATCACGTGATATGGAGGGGATTGGGACACCTGAATCACGTGATATGGAGGGGATTGGGACACCTGAATCACGTGATATGGAGGGGATTGGGACACCTGAATCACGTGATATGGAGGGGATTGGGACACCTGAATCACGTGATATGGAGGGGATTGGACACCTGAATCACGTGATATGGAGGGGATTGGAACACCTGAATCACGTGATATGGAGGGGATTGGAACACCTGAATCACGTGATATGGAGGGGATTGGAACACCTGAATCACATGATACGAGGGGATTGGAACACCTGAATCCAATTATATGAAGGGGGGGGTCAATACTTCTGGCAATATAGTGTATGTCCCGTGCACTGGTGGTGCGAATTGAGTCGCGTAAGACTTCTGCGTAGTGCAGTCCAGTTCAGGTGCGGATTACGGGCGATTGACTTCTAGGTGAACTGTTTCTAAAACACTCGTCATCTGTTGTGAACAAGATAAAATCCTCACCTGAACCTGATCTAAACCTGTCCTGAATCGCTGAACAACTACAGTTTCATTAGCTGTGAAACCTGAACTTCAATCCACAGTGTGAATCCGAATCTGGCATATTTGAAAATTACAAATCCAAAATGATGACTTTTTCAGAACCTGACCCTGACCTCTCTCTTCCCTTGTAGCTGTGTGCTAATGACGAGATTATGGATCTAGTGGAGGGGCTGATGGATGGGATGTCTATAATGCCGGATCAAACGTCTATGCAGCCTCAGGAACAGATCTCTGTTCCCTCAGAAGAAGAAGGTATGTGAAACTCTCCTGGGTAAGATGCAGATTTTCCTCCAGTTGGTATGTGTACTGTGAGGTGTACTTCTCCCATCATCGGGGGGGGGGGGGGGGGGGTGTTCTGGACAGTAAGGCTGAAATTGTATAGATGGGCAACTCCTATCCTCATTATTATACAGGATTTATATAGCACCAAAAAGGTTTGTTCAGCGCTCTACATTATAGTGGGGACAAAACATGAGACAAGACAGTAACAATACAATACACGAGGGGTGCGAGGGCCCTGATCCTTGGAGCTTACAATCTAGGAGGGAGGGGATAGTGGTACAGGAGGAAGTGGCTGTGGGGGATGGAGTGGTAGGAGGAGTGGAGGAGATCGACTGTTAGGTGAGGGTGGGGTAGGCTTCCCTGAAGAGATGGGTTTTCAGGGTGCGCCTGAAGGTGAGGAGGGTAGGTGACAGTCTGATGGATTGGGGTTGTGAGTTCCAGAGGATGGGGGAAGTCCTGGAGAAGTCCTGCAGTCGGGCGTGGGAGGGAGGAGACCAAGGAGCTAGAAAGTAGGAGGTCCTGTGAGGAGCGAAGAGTACGGGTTGGGTGGTATTTGGGTATCAGGTCGGTGAGGTAGTTTGGGGCGGAGTTATGAATGGCTTTGTATGTCCGTGTTAGTAGTTCGAATTGTATACGTTGGGCAATCGGAAGCCAGTGGAGGGAATGACAGAGGGGGGTGGAGGACACTGAGTGGAGGCCAGTGGAGGGAATGACAGAGGGGGGTGGAGGACACTGAGTGGAGGCCAGTGGAGGGATTGGCAGAGAGGGGTGGAGGACACTGAGTGGAGGCCAGTGGAGGGAATGACAGAGGGGGGTGGAGGACACTGAGTGGAGGCCAGTGGAGGGATTTGGCAGAGGGGGTGGAGGACACTGAGTGGAGGCCAGTGGAGGGATTGGCAGAGAGGGGTGGAGGACACTGAATGGAGGCCAGTGGAGGGATTGGCAGACAGAGGGGGGTGGAGGACACTGAGTGGAGGCCAGTGGAGGGAATGACAGAGGGGGGGTGGAGGACAGTGAGTGGAGGCCAGTGGAGGGATGGAGGGGGGTGGAGGACACTGAGTGGAGGCCAGAGTGGAGGCCAGTGGAGGGATGGCAGAGAGGGGTGGCAGAAGCGGAGCGGTTGGTGAGGTGGATGAGTCTGGCCGCTGAGTTCAGGATAGACTGAAGCGGGGATAGTCTGTGATGAGGGAGGCCGGCGAGGAGGGAGTTGCAGTAGTCCAGACGTGAGATAATAAGGGAGTGAACGAGTTGTTTGGTGGTGTCTGGGGTGAGGAACGAACGTATTTTGGAGATGTTGCGGAGGTGGAGTCTGCATGAGTTTGCCAACGATTGGACATGAGGTTGGAAGGACAGGTTTGAGTCTAGAGTGACACCTAGGACTTTGGCTTGCGGGGGTGGGACTGATGGTGGCGTTGTTGGTCGTGATGGAAAGGAGTGGGGGGGGGGGGCGGGCTGGGGGGGAAAATTAGGAGCTCATTGATTATGGATGTGAATTAATAACTACTGCAGGAGTGTGTGACACAAAAAGATACTCCGTCTGTCCAAATAACTGTGTGTTTATTTGAGGCTTTGATGTGTGTGTGTGTGTATAGATAGGTGTGTGTGTGTGTGTGTGTGTGTGTGTGTACATATATACACACGTGTGTGATTTTGCACAGGGCGGTCAGCGTGTAGTTATTGGAGCTTCGTATTGATGTTACAGACATTTTTCCAGACTGTAACAATACAATATACACTCTGAATCTTCCCGTGTCCCGCAGTATCTCATTTGGAAGGTCCCCGGGGTACACGAGGCAGATCTAATCATTAACTCTTTGTGTGTACAGTAGCTTTTTCCGAAGATTCTCCATCAATGCCGTTAACGGTGGGTGACACCGAGCAGTCCAGCTCCCGCAGACACTTCAGCAGGAATTTTCCCTCATCAATGTACATATTCGCAACGTCAACATTGAGGTAAGTGGAGCCCCCCAGTACGATGTCCCCGCAGCTCCTAATTCTCAACTTTTATTTTGCATGTTTCCTCTCCTCTTCCTTTCTGCGCGTTTTTTTTTCTTGTTTTGCAATTAAAGCCCCACTCCGGCACAAGAAAAAAAATAACCCTTGCAGTGGGTTTAAGGGCCAGTTCACACCACATTCAGTCCCTGTGCGTTTTTGTTTTGTTTTTTTTCCTGCTTCAAAAATGCATGCACAGTGTTTTCCATGTAGTCCTGGCCCTAGTTCACACCAGTGCAGTCAGTTCCAGCACTGAAAAAAAAAAAAAGTAGAACATGCTGCATTTTTTTCTGCACAGTACTGTTCTGGAACATAGCAAACTGCGTCAAAACTACACCGGAGTGTGGTGAATCCGGAATGCAATCGGCGTGCGTTTTTATGGTGTGAACTGGCCCTAAATGTTTTATAAATGTAGAGCGAAGGGGTGTCAAACTTGCGGTCCTCCAGCTGTTGCAGAACTACAAGTCCCATCAGGCACTGCAAGGCTGACCGTCACAAGCATGACTCCCACAGGCAGAGGCATGATGGGATTTGTATTTCTACAACAGCTGGGGGCCGCCAGTTTGACACCCCTGTAAAATTAGCTGTAATACTTATTTGATTCCCCTGCTCTGGCAGGCTTCCTCCATGTTGTGCAGCCAGCCCCCTGGAGCTCTGACGTTGTCATGCACAATGCAGGACCAGCAGTCTTGGGATGCCCTCCCCTTCTAGTCACTGCTTTGGGACAACCCTCTTGTCATGGATGTAAAGATGCTCTGTATCCCGTGATGTATGATAAAGAAAATGGGGATTTTTGGTTTACCTGTAGTCCATCCATACGAGACACAGAGATCCTGCCCCTCTTCATTCATGGTGTATGGTCTCCCCTAGATGGGCGGGGTTTGTTGATGGAACGCCTGTCACTACGATTGGGTGTCTCCCGTTTCTTCACCACTGGGACACAGGACCGAAGTATTCTAGCTGGGCATTGCACCCAAGACTAGACGAGGCTAGCTCAGATGCCCAAACTGCAACTCTTTATTAACTTTCTTGCCGACCGCACGCATAGCCGAATGACGGCTTCACCGCGGCCAAAGGCCCGGTTCCAGTTCTGAGTGGACGTCATATGACGTCCTCCCAGAACACGCTCTCTCCTGCGCGCCCCAGGGGGCGCGCACACCGGACGGCGATCTCCGTGATCGCTGTGTCCTACGGACACAGCTGATCACGTGATGTGGGTGAAAGGCCGATCCCACCGGCCTTTTACCACGTGATCAGCGGTGTCCAAATGACACGCTGATCACAGGGAAATGCAAGTGCCGGTTCTCGGCTGCACTTTCCTCACGCTGTCAGATCGTGAGGAAAGTACTGCCGAGAACCGGCAGTTGTCAGAGCGGGGATCGGCACCGATCATCAGGGCACTGATGATCAGTGCCCTGATGATCGGTGCCCAGCAGTGACACCCGCAAGTTCCGCCCAGCAGTGCGCCCACTAGCCCCGCCCACCCGTTCCCAGCAGTGCCCCCCACCTGTGCCCAGCAGTGCCCCCACCTGTGCCCAGCAGTGCCCCCCTGTGCCACTCTGCAGTGCCACCTACTGTGCCCAGTAAGTGCCACCTACCTGTGCCCAGAAGTGCCACCCACCTGTACCCACCTGTGCCCACCAGTGCCACCCACCTGTGCCCACCAGTGCCACCCACCTGTGCCCACCAGTGCACCCAGTGCTGCCCACCAGTGCCACCCACCAGTGCAGCCCAGCAGTGCTGCCAGTCAGTGCCACCAGTCAGTGCCCAGGGGTTGTGCCAGTCAGTGCCGCCAGTCAGTGCCCAGAAGTGATGCCAGTCAGTGCCGTCTATCAGTACCCCATCATCAGTGTCACCTATCAGTGCCGCCTATCAGTGCTGCATATCAGTGCCGCCTATCCGTGACCCCTAATTAGTGCTGTCTATCAGTGCCGCCTATCCGTGCCACCTCATTAGTACTGCCTATCAGTGCCCTTTAGTGCTGCCTATCATGCCCATCAGTGCCGCCTATCAGTGCCCATCAGTGCCGCCTCATCAACGCAAATCAGTGAAGGAGAAAAAAATACCTGTTTGAAAAATTTTATAAAAGAAACAAATAAACTTTTTTTTTTTTTTTTCAAATTAAAAGCGCCCAGTGGCGATTAAATACCACCAAAAGAAAGCTATTTGTGAGAAAAAAAATGATCAAAATTTCATATGGGTACAATGTTGCATGACCGCGCAATTGTCAATCAAAGTGCGGCAGCGCTGAAAGCTGAAAATTGGCCTGGTAAGGAAGGGGGTATAAGTGCCTGGTAGCAAGTGGTTAAAACAGAAAACACAGGTTTTTATACACTCAGAAATAGGGGCAGTCCCCACAGGAATAATAAACGCAAAAAATATTATACATTGGGATAAACATCCCTTACTGATTGGATAAGGAGGTAAAGCTGACAGAGTAATCTCATCATCAAACATAATTTTTGCAATTTTTGACACGTGTTAGCAAAACCATCCATGTCCTCACAACTGCTTTGTTGCATCCAGGTGGATTATACTGCATTTTTTTCAGGACAAACTGGCTGTTAATGGTAATGGATATCTGATTTTTTTTTTTTTTTTATTACCACTAAAGGAAAACTGGCCCCAAAATAGTAAAAAAAAAAAAAAAAAAAAAAAACCCAAAACATTTTTTTAAATTTAGCTGTATATTTCTGGCTTTACTACCATAACCTACCACTATAGAACAACCCAAAATCATTGCTCCTGATGATCGCAGCGATACCACACGTGTGTATGTTGTTGCTTTGTACTCGTAGTACAGCCCAGAAACAAGAGTAAGCAATTTGCTTTTTTTTTTTTTTTTTTTTTTTTTTTTTTTTTTTTTTTTTTTCCTCCTGATACTAATTTGAAAATTACAAAAAAACCCTGACTGGAAAAAAAAAAAAAATGACCCTGACCCAAACCCTGGCACAGACCTTAGATCTAGTTTTTTTTCTATTATTTTATTATTTAGTTATTTTTTACGCACACCTCTTCTTTTTTTTTTTTCTCTGAAAAGACAGATACTATGTACTTCTCTCCTCCATTCAGAGAGAGAAAAACAAGGGGAGCTTCCCAGTGTCTGATCCACTGTGCTAGCCAATCAGAGGCTAGCACAGCAATCGGGTGACCCAGAATCTGGAGTTTTTTGTTTGTTTTTTTTTTTTAAGTCCGCAGCCGCGAACGTGCAAAAAAAATATACGAAAAACCCGTAAGTGCTCACAAAAAACGTGCCAGTGCAAAACACCACACAAAAAAGTGCACTCAGGGGTGTGCTTTGTCCTTCACCCCCCGAAGGGGATGGACCTCTACCCTAGAATCCCCCGGGGCACGAAGCTCCTGACAGGGGACAAGGTTCCCATGTGGTCCGCCTAGCCAAAAGGCCTGGCGGACCCTGTTCCTTGTAGCCAGCCACCAAGTACTTGGTAAGGGGGCTCTCCCGAAGAAAAAAACCCCCTAGGGACAGGGGAGGAAGGAACCAAAAGGCCACACATCCTCCTCCTAGACTTCAGGGTAGGCCCGAGGACCCACACCCTCCATCCTGTGAGAGAGGAAACACACACAAAAGTAAAAAGTGAAAAACGTGGGAGAGAAAATAAATTGAATAAATAAATAAGTGGCCGTGCAGATTGTGCACTGGCCAGGCCCTGAGGCCCGTAGCAAAAATTGCCCAGTACTTGGCCAAAAGGCGCAGTGCGGGAAAAGTGTTGAATCAGTGACCATGTGCCTTTACACACGTTGGGGTCCCACACCCAAGTGTTACTAAGAGCACCCCTGAGGCGACCACTCTCAAGGGGGCACTGGTTTGCGGACTTTCTGCCTCCCCGGCCCCTGGCCAGACAAGGTAGATCCATTCAAACCAGGAGGAACTGGGCCCCTCCGGTTTTCTAGGGGGAATTACTCCCGGGCCCCAGCAGCCAGTGGGCGCCTCGGTTTCTGTTCCAGCCTGTACTAACCATCAGGACCCCCATCCTACCAGCAGGGGTACTATACAACCAATCATCCCCGCAAGCAGGAATGATGGCGGAGCGCCCCTACTGGACACTGATAAGAACAGGTACTACACTTGATCTTAGCCAAAAGGCCGAGAAGCGATGACCCAGAATCGGGAGTTCTGCGTCCCAATCCCAACAGAAAGTCCGGTACACAAGTTAGCGGCCCCACGGAAAAACAATATCCAGTTCTGAGACGCTGCTCATTTTACTTACGATCGTCATCGAAGGATTAATTATGTTTCCAGAATATGTGAAGCTCTTGGTTTCATTTCTGTAGATGGACGCCATGAATCGATCCTGTACAGTGTCGGTCCGCTGCGGCAATCACCGGGTGCGGATGATGGTCAAGTTCCCGGTTCAGTATCCCAACAACGCGGCTCCTTCCTTCCAGTTTGTCCCGCCCACCACCATCACATCTGCCATGAAAGTGAAGCTGCTGAAGGTAAGATTACAAATGTGGTGTATGGGGGGGGGGGGGGGGGCCGTTAGGAGGCGCTAGGTTTGAGGTCGATGAAATACCAACGAAAGAAAGCTCTATTTGTGGGAAAAAAAAGGACATTAATATCATTTATGTACAGCGTTGCATGACCGCGCAATTGTCAGTTTAAAGTAATGCTGTGTCACAAACAATGGCCTGGTCAGGAAGGGGGGGAAATCTTCTGGAGGGCGAGTGGTTAATGAAAACCGACGCTTCTGGGAGTGTCAAATTCATGTGTCCCCCTTCAGTATATGAATGGTCCCTCCCATGATGCTTCATTACAGAATACTGCAAAGATGTGAAGTTTGGAGAAAGAGCAACCAATCGGTATTGCAGGGAAGTTCTAGAGTGCACAACACACACAGAGTTGTATTCACTCACAAGATCTGGCCTGAAAAACCGGCATTACTGAGAAGTTCTGCCTGTTTTTGGCTCAATGTCTGTCTCATCTTAAAGTGTTACTAAAATAAATGAGCTTGGGATTCTTCCCTGAAGGAGCCCAACATGTTTCTCTCCCAAGCGCTTTGGGTGCGAAACATGTTGGACTACACGCCCTCACGTACGTTACGCACGTGACGTCACCACGCACAACGGCTGCCTCGTCCGATCCCATGACAATCATGGGCATCCAGCTTCACAAGCAATACACCTACAGTGGCCCGGATTTTCCATCCCGCCGGCGCTCTACACTATACAGGAAAATACTTCCACGCCATCTGGCGGGACTGCCGCGAATTACTTCTGGACTGCCGGAGCGGGAAGTTCTGAAAATGCCACAAGAGACGGAGAGATGCTGGAAGTATATGTTGTGTGTGTACAGCTGGTGGTGACCTTAATACCATATCTGTGACGTCACGGACTCCATCGGTTACTATATATGGAGGCTTCAAGTTACTTCTACTTTACCGATCTCTATACTGGATCAATGCTGACCAATGAGACAAATACTCCGCCATGAATCCGAGAACCTTCTACCCGAACCTGTCTTACCCACCATGGAAGGGGGGAGGGTCATGTCACTGTGGTGCCTATACCCAGGTGGGCATCATAGGAGATGGGGGGGACAGGCATTACTAAAGTGATTATTAACCCCTCCCTCCCGTTGGCGTTGTGGTCGCAAGACAGAACAAGGGGATCCCCCCCCCCCTCTTCTCCTCCCATCCCCCCCCGAAACAAAAAGAGGAGAAGAAAGAAACAAACCTCTTCTCCTCCCTCCCCCCCCTCTTCTCCTCCCTCCCCCCCCCCTCTTCTCCTCCCTCAAGCGGAGGACGAAAGATAAACAAAAAAGAGGAGCACGGGAGAGAGAAAAAAACGGAGGAGACCCCCTCTTCCTCCTCCCTCCCCCCCCCTCTTCAAAAACGAGGAGAAGCCCCCACCTCTTCTCCTCCCTACCAAAGAGACCCCCCCCCTCTTCTCCTCCCTCTCCCCCCCCCACTTCTCCTCAAACCCCCCCCTCTTCTCCTCAAACTCACGAGGCCCCGCCCGCCTCACGCCAAGAGGAAAGACAGAGGCGAACGACAGACTCCCAAGCTCCTCCCTCTCCCGACCCACCTCAAAGAGGAGAGAAAGCGAAAACAAAGTCCCCACCCCTCTTCCCTCAAATAAAACCCCCCCCTCTTCTCTCCTCCCTCCAAGGAGACGAAAGACGAAACCACCGAGGAGAGACTCCCTCCCCCCCACTCTTCCCCTCCTCCCAACGAGGAGCCCCCCCCCAAAACAACAGCCTTCTCCTCCCTCTCCCCCCCCACTTCCTCCCTCCTCCCCCCCCCTCTTCTCCTCCCTCTCCCCCCCCCTCTCTCCTCCCTCTCCCCCCCCTCTTCTCCTCCCTCTCCCCCCCTCTTCTCCTCCCTCTCCCCCCCTCTTCTCCTCCCTCCACCCCCTCTTCCCCCTCTCCCCCCCCTTCTCCTCCCCTCCCCCCCCTCTTCTCCTCCCTCCCCCCCCCCCCTTCTCCTCCCTCATCCCCCCCCCTCTTCTCCTCCCTCCCCCCCCTCCTCTCCCTCCCACTCCCCCCCTCTCTTCTCCTCCCTCTCCCCCCCCCTCTTCTCCTCCTCCTCCCCCTCTTTCTCCTCTCCCAAGAAAGTCTCCTCTCCCCCCCCCTCTTCTCCTCCCTCTCTCCCCTCCCCCCCACCTCCTCCCTCTCCCCCCCTCTTCTCCTCCCCCCCCCCTCTTCTCCTCCCTCTCCAACTCCCCCTCCCCCTCAAGAACCTCACCTCCCCCCCCCTCCTCTCCCTTCCCCTCCCCCCCTCCCCCCCCCCATTCTCCTCTCCTCCCTCTCCCCCCCTTCTTACTCTCCCCCCCCCTTCTCCTTCCCAGCGCTCCCCCCCCGATCTTCTCCTCCTCTCCCCCCCCCTCTTCTCCTCCCTCTCCCCCCCCTCTCTCCTCCCCTCTCCCCCCCCCTCTTCTCCTCCCTCTCCCCCCCCTCTTCTCCTCCCTCTCCCCCCCCCTCTTCTCCTCCCTCTCCCCCCCCTCTTCTCCTCCCCTCCCCCCCCCCTCTTCTCCTCCCTCCCCCACCCCCTCTTCTCCTCCTCCCCCCCCCCCTCTTCGCGTCCTCCCTCCCCCCCCCCCTCTTCTCCCCTCCCTCCCCCCCCCTCTTCTCCTCCCTCCCCCCCCCCCCTCTTCTCCTCCCTCCCCCCCCTCTCTCTCCTCCCCCCCCCCCCCCTCTTCTCCTCCCTCTCCCCCCCCCTCTTCTCCTCCCCCCCCCCTCTTCTCCTCCCTCTGCCTCCCCCCCCCTCTTCTCCTCCCTCTCCCCCCCTCTTCCCCTCCCTCTCCTCCCTCTCCCCCCCCCCTCCCCCCCTCTCTCCTCCCTCCCCCCCCCCCTCTTCTCCTCCCTCCCTCCCCTCTTCCCCTCCCCCCCCCCCCCCTCTCTTCTCCTCCTCCCTACTCCCCCCCCCCTCTTCTCCCCCCCCCCCCTCTCTCTCCTCCCCCCTCCCCCTTTCTTCTCCTCCCCCCCCCCCTCCTCCCTCTCCCCCCCCCCCCCCTTCTACTCCCTCTCCCCCCCCCCTCTTCTCCTCCTCTCCCCCCCCCCCCTCTTCTCCTCCCCCCCCCTCTTCTCCCTCCCTCCCCCCCCCCCCCCCCCTCTTCTCCTCCCTCTCCACCCCCCACCTCTTCCTCCTCCCTCTCTCCCCCCCCCCCCTTCTCCTCCCCCCCCACCCTTCTCCTCCCCCCCCCTCCCTCCCCCCTCCCTCCCTATCTCCCCCCTCTCCCTCCCCCCCCTCTTCTCCTCCCTCTCTCCCCCCCCCCCCTCTTCTCCTCCCTCTCCCCCCTCTCTCTCTCCCTCCCCCCTCTCTCTCTCCCTCCCCCCCCCTCTCTCTCTCCCTCCCCTCTCTCCCCCCCCCCCCCTCTCCCCCCCCCTCTCCCCTCCCCCCCTCTCTCTCCCTCCCCCCCCTCTCTCTCCCTCCCCCCTCCTCTCTCCCTCCCCCCTCCTCTCTCTCTCCTCCCCTCTCTCTCTCTCCTCCCCTCTCTCCTCCCCTCTCTCTCTCCTCCCTCCCTCTCTCTCTCCCCCCTCCCCTCTCTCTCTCCCCCCTCCGCTCTCTCTCTCCCCCCCTCCGCTCTCTCCCCCCCCCCCTCTCTCTCTCCCCCCCCCCCCCTCTCTCTCCCCCCCCTCTCTCTCTCCCCCCCCTCTCTCCCCCCCTCTCTCTCCCTCCCCCCCTCTCTCTCTCCCTCCCCCCCTCTCTCTCCCCCCCCCCTCTCTCTCTCCCCCCTCTCTCTCCCCTCCCCCTCTCTCTCTCCCCCCCTCCCCTCTCTCTCTCCCCCCCCTCCCTCTCTCTATCTCTCCCCCCCCCCCTCTCTCTCTCTCCCCCCTCCCCTCTCTCTCCCCCCTCCCCTCTCTCTCCCCCCTCCCCTCTCTCTCCCCCCTCTCCCCCCCCCCGTCTTTCTCCCGCCTTTCTCTCCCCTTTCTCTTTTACTTTTTTCTGACCTCCGGAATGGATCGGTTTTCAATGCATTTAGGAATTTTTTTTTAATCATGTCCCTTTTTATGCCTTTTATAGTGCACTTTACAAAGAATCTTGAACAGAAGACTTTTTTTTTTAACTTTTTTCTGACCTCCGAAACGGATTAATTGGTTTTCTGACCTCCGGAACGGATTAATTGGTTTTCTGACCTCCATAATGGGTTAATTGGTTTTCAGTGCATTTATGAGTTTATAATCACATCCCTGTACAGTATTTATGCCTTTAAAGTGCACATTATAAAGAGTTTTGAACAGATAAAAGTTTTTTTTTTTTGTTTACTTTTTTCTGACCTCCGGAATGGATTAATTGGTTTTCAATACATTCCTATGGGAAACCGCATTTCAGTTTACAAAGTTTTTGCAATACAAAACATCCCGCATTAAATTTGTAAACCGAGGTACGCCTGTATTTACTCTCTTCGGGTGGAGTCAGCAGTCATTTGGCAGCCAATATGAATAGGGTAACGGATATCTACTAATCCCTCTCGTATTGGCCGTAGAGGCCCCTGGCATACCGTTTTTAGTTTTTGTATCAGTGTGCGGTCATACTCACCCACAGAAGAAGTTGTGATTCGGTCACATTACCAGTCAACTATGCAGGAGAGGAAACGTGACCAGGACCCATCCCCCGTAGGGACAACGTAGTGGCACACAGTCATGCCAAATGGAAGGTCCCAATGAAAAGGCCTTAGGGAGACGTTAGGGAGACCAGAAATATGAAGAAGTTGGCTAAAGCAATTAGGAGACGGCTTGTGGAGAAGGTGAGCGAGCGGCTTCCTAATATGAGGTGCTAATTATTTATTATCTATTTCAGGTACTTGTATCAGTTTACGCAGCGTTACATATATATTGTACATTCACAACAGTCCCCGCCCCCGAGGAGCGTACAATCTAAGGTCCCTAACTCCCATCATACATACACATACTAGGGACAATGTAGACAGGAGCCAATTAACCTCCCAGCACGTCTTTGGCGTGTGGGAGGAAACCCACGCAGGCACAGGGAGAACATGCAAGCTCCAGGCAGGTGGTGCCGTGGCTGGGATTCGAACCAACGACTGACTAATTGATGACAAGCCCTGCAAGCTGTGATACAGGAGGCGTTGGCTTTGCTCGGTGGTCAGAAATGTTCTGTGTTCATCTATCCTGAGACGTCTTCACAGTGAATTGTGTTTTATGGACAATCTAACCTTCTGTCTTCCAGATCCTTAAAGATACATCTCTGCAGAAGGTCAAACGCAACCAAAGCTGCCTGGAGCCGTGCCTGCGCCAGCTGGTGTCCTGTATGGAGAGCTTTGTGGTGAGCAGACCGGGGGTATGGAATATTCGATAACCCACCTTAACCATTAGCCGCCCGGCCTATACCCGTTTGGCGGCTTCAGAAGTGCTGCGGCATTCCGCGTGCACCCGCACATGCTCAGTTTACAGTAATGCAGAGCCTCGCAGCGGCGCGATCTGTCACCCGCCGTGTACCTCGGACACGGCCAATGACAGATCTGAGTACCGGCCCCCGTTGCTGGTACCATGTGACCTGCTGTGACCAATCACAGCAGGTCACATGACAGTTGTATACAATGGATGGCTTCATTCATGCCATCCATTGTATACTAGTGCCTAGCTGTGAATGGTCACAGCAGGTCACATGCACATGTCATGTGATTAGCTGTGACCAAATCACAGCTAAGCACAAAAAAAAAAAAAAACCTGAATGAATCGATGTCATTCAGGTAAATGCTTGCTTATAGCAAAGTAATTCTTTGCTATAAGCAAATTGTGTAAAAAAAAAAAAAAAAAAAAAAAAAAAATACTGATCACTTCCCCAAAGTAGTAAAATGTTACTATGGTAACATTGTACTACTTTGGTCATAGTACAATATGAAAAAAAAATCTTAAAAAAAAATAAAAAAAATGTAATAAAAAAAATTAAAAATAATAAAAAAAAATAAAAAAAAATATATATATTTTTTTTTTCATACTGTCACCAGTCAGTGTCCCTGTTCACCGCCATGCCAGTTATATGATGACGCTGTACTGCATTGGTGACAGTATGTAAAAAAAAAAAATAGTGAAAAATAATTTTTTTAATTTTTTTTTTTTTCCGAAAAAATTATGACAAAAAAAATACAACTTCAAAAAACTCGCCATGCCTCTTATGAAGTACGTCGGACTGTCTACTCTGCAAAAAGGGGTCATTTGGGGGATATCTGTACTGTCCTGACATTTGGGGGATATCTGTACTGTTCTGACATTTGGGGGATATCTGTACCGTCCTGACATTTGGGGGATATCTGTACTGTCCTGACATTTGGGGGATATCTGTACCGTTCTGACATTTGGGGGATATCTGTACTGTCCTGACATTTGGGGGATATCTGTACTGTCCTGACATTTGGGGGATATCTGTCCTGTCCTGACATTTGGGGGGATATCTGTCCTGTCCTGACATTTGGGGGATATCTGTCCTGTCCTGACATTTGGGGGATATCTGTCCTGTCCTGACATTTGGGGGATATCTGTCCTGTCCTGACATTTGGGGGATATCTGTCCTGTCCTGACATTTGGGGGATATCTGTACTGTCCTGACATTTGGGGGATATCTGTCCTGTCCTGACATTTGGGGGATATCTGTCCTGTCCTGACATTTGGGGGATATCTGTACTGTCCTGACATTTGGGGGGTATCTGTACCGTCCTGACATTTGGGGGATATCTGTACTGTCCTGACATTTGGGGGGTATCTGTACCGTCCTGACATTTGGGGGATATCTGCACCGTCCTGACATTTGGGGGATATCTGCACCGTCCTGACATTTGGGGGATATCTGCACCGTCCTGACATTTGGGGGATATCTGTACCGTCTTGACATTTGGGGGATATCTGTACTGTTCTGACATTTGGGGGATATCTGTACCGTCCTGACATTTGGGGGATATCTGTACCGTCCTGACATTTGGGGGATATCTGTACTGTTCTGACATTTGGGGGATATCTGTACCGTCCTGACATTTGGGGGATATCTGTACCGTCCTGAAATTTGGGGGATATCTGTACCGTCCTGAAATTTGGGGATATCTGTACTGTTCTGACATTCTTGGACCTCAAGAAATTAGATTGGCCATCAGTACTTCAGGATTGATCAATATTCAGATCTATCCCATAGTTTGTGAACTCTATAACTTTCCTACAAACTAAATAATACATCCTAATTTGGGTTATTTTCCCCACAGACATGGAGCAGAATACATCTCGGCCTAAATTTATGAAGAACAATTATTTATTTGTAAACTTTTATTACAGAAACAAAGAAAAACGTGTTTTTTTTTCAAAATTTTTGGTCTTTTTTTGTTAATTTAGCAAAAAATAAAAAACCCCAGCGGTGATTTACATACCACCAAATGAAAGCTCTAGTTGTGTGAAGAAAATGATAAAATTTTAGTTTGGGTACAATGTTGTATGACCGCGCAATTGTCATTCAAAGTGTGAGAGCGCTGAAACGTGAAAAATGGCCTGGGGGCAGGAAGGGGGTAAAATTGCCCGGTATTGAAATGGTTAAAGGAGAAGGAACATGTTACATTCGTGTGGAACATGTGACATAGTCTAGCGCCTGCCACCTCTCCCCCTGTTTCCCCCCCCTACACCGTGACAGCGGGTGGGGGATCCTCTACCCCACGATCCATGCACATTTCCCGCACTGTATTCCAATCACACTGCCCTGCGATCCGCTGTGGGTGTCGGTGTCATCCGAACACTCCAAACGCAGGTCATAAACGCAGTACCATGCAGTACAGCAGTCCGGTTCCATAATTCCTGCATGCAAGACTTTCCTCGAATTTCACCTCATTAAATTGCATGTGAATTGTTCCTGTGCGATTCACGGGGGGGGGGGGGGGGGGGGGGGGGGGGGGGTTCAGAGTGTGAACCAAGGCTTAGACTAGAGAGACCCTCCCCCTCTTCTGTCGTCTCCCTGGGCAGGACTTTTACAGACTCTTTGGATTTGGCTGCAGCAAAGTGCGCAGGAAAGTAAAGGTCTGCTGGGTCCCAGCACTGCCCAGACATACATTGATGACGGTTTTCACTTTGACTTCAATGCTTTCATCTCTGACGTGTCTTTAATCTCCTAGGACCAGGAATCCAGTCCTTCGGACAACCCCTTCTCCTTGCAGAACCCAGTCACCCCACCACTGCCCACGTTTGCCCGAGTGACCAATGCCTACGGTTCCTACCAGGACGCCAACATCCCGTTTCCTCCTCGGACATCAGGTGCCCGCTTCTGTGGAGCAGGTCAGTGGGATACGTCGCCATTACTGCACCTCTATTCTAGAATCAATTATGATGGAACATTGTACACTGTGACCCCGATGGTTCATTCCGAGCTCCCTCTTACCTCTGCAGGGTACCTGGTGTACTTCACGCGGCCAATGACAATGCACAGGACGGTGTCTCCTACAGAGCCCACTCCAAGGTTTGTGTCTTGCTTTGTAACATTTTCCTAAAGTGGACCTGTACTGAAAAATGAAGATTTGCTGTGTTATGGAGACCATCTGGAAATGTTAGTGTTACTAAACCCCGGACCCCGCATTCACTCTGTCCGCTCTCCCTCTGGACCCCGCATTCCCTATGTCCGCTCTCCCCGGACCCCGCATTCCCTGTATCCGCTCTCCCCCCAGACCCCGCATTCCCTGTATCCGCTCTCCCCGCACCGCTGTGTCCCGCACACTCGCTGTGTCCGCTCTCCCCGCACCCGACACTCGCTGTGTCCGCTCTCCCCGCACCCGGCACTCGCTGTGTCCGCTCTCCCCGCACCCGGCACTCGCTGTGTCCGCTCTCCCCGCACCCGGCACTCGCTGTGTCCGCTCTCCCCCGCACCCGGCACTCGCTGTGTCCGCTCTCCCCGCACCCGGCACTCGCTGTGTCCGCTCTCCCCCGCACCCGGCACTCGCTGTGTCCGCTCTCCCCCTCGCACCCGGCACTCGCTGTGTCCGCTCTCCCCGCACCCCGGCACTCGCTGTGTCCGCTCTCCCCCGCTCGCTGTGTCCGCTCTCCCCGCACCCGGCACTCGCTGTGTCCGCTCTCCCCACTCGCTGTGTCCGCACTCCGGCACTCGCTGTGTCCGCTCTCCCCGCCGCTGTGTCCGGCACTCGCTGTGTCCGCTCTCCCCGCACCCGGCACTCGCTGTGTCCGCTCTCCCCGCACCCGGCACTCGCTGTGTCCGCTCTCCCCGGGACCGGCACTCGCTGTGTCCGCTCTCCCCCGGACCCGGCACTCGCTGTGTCCGCTCTCCCCGGACCCGGCACTCGCCGCGTCCGCTCTCCCCGGACCCGGCACTCGCCGCGTCCGCTCTCCCCGGACCCGGCACTCGCCGCGTCCGCTCTCCCCGGACCCGGCCCCCTGCTGTGTCCGGGGAGAGCGGATACAAGGCCCGCAGGCCTTGTGTTTAACACCTGTGATGTAAATAATCACATATCTGTATAATGTTTATACCTGTACATACATGTATAGCGTCGGATATTTTCATTAGTTCTGTGTTTGTCCTCTTTGTCAGATCCCTGTCCGCTCTGTCCGCCTATCACAGCGGTGTGATCGCACCTTTGAAAATCCGCACGGAGGCTCCTGGGAACTTGTTGCTGTACGGAGGCAGCCCCACTCGTAGTGAGAAGGAACAAGTGTCCATCAGTTCATTTTATTACAAGGAGAGGGTATGTAATGCTCACGCCTGTCCTGTCTATACCCACAATTACTGCCGGACAAAGCACACTATACAGGGGCCATGAGCGCTCCCCGTGCCGGCTTCATTGTCGACCTTCCCGGAATGAAAACAAACGGCACGGAATGAACTGCAAGTCACACACGGGTATTGCACATTTCTGTGTGCTTGCTCCTCTAAAAGGGACACTTCCAGAAACATCCAATGGAATGTGAACATACATTTTGCGTCACCATAATCTCCCCTTTTAGGCCAAATCTTTCCTTCCTGTTCACGATGTGATTGGTTACACAGGACAGCACACCCGGGGCCCACTATGCTGCTATTCTACAATCATGCTACTGGGTTGTAAAACCATGAAACCCTCCTGCTTTTCATGTATATCTGGATCCGTCAGCCACATACAAAAGGAAATGTGTAAACCACATATTTACTGATGGCCTGTAAGCAATACCTAAATGTCAAGGGTCCCATAGACTTGCAGGAATCGAAGGAAATTCGATTTGTGGGTGTCCCCTAAACACCCACCATTGACAAAAATTGATTTAAAGGAGAAGCACAGCTAACCCTCTTTGCAGAACCAAGTGCACTCTTGCAGCTGACTTTGGGCTAACATCTGCTGTCCGTTTAAAAACAAATGGCAACTGCCCCAACCTATGGGAGGGAGATGCATGTCAATGACAAAATTCCCAGCCAGCCTGCAAACAAACCGAATTGTCCGGATAAGAATGTTATAAAGTGAGCGCTCTTAACCAAGCAGCTAGCACTAAAGGTAATCACAGTATACCCATAAAAAGCGGAATAGTAATAACAGAGTGCAGCGCTAAAAGATAAGTGCAAAAAGGCAAATAGTCCGTAGTTGTTAACTGGATATAAATATATAGTCCCAAGAAATAACTGATGAAGACCAGGAAGCAATGGAAAGAGTGCGCACTCACCGGACGCGCACGGAAAATGCGCGTAAATAAAATGTCTCCAGGAATCCTAAAGTAGATGGAGAGAGGGTGAATTCCAATCTTTGGATCAATCAGCCTGGGAAGATGTATCAGAGATCCGGAGGTCCCCTTAAGGTTGGTATAATTATCAGCCAGATTCCAAGAGCTTCCGTCCCTCTGGTGGTAATAGATGAGCACTACAGGAATCCTGCAAATGGATTTAGCTCCCAATGGGAACCACAAAACAAGTGCCCATAGTGTAGTATTTTAAAAAAGAGATTTATTGAATAAAATGACAAGCAGGGTAGTAAGGCTGTGTACAGTACATATATGAAAGCAGAGTACGCAGCAATGATACTGACCCTGAGTTAAAATGGCCGCGGGGCTGTCTCGTGGCTCCGGGCAAAAGATGACGTCATGCTCTGTGGTTTCCTCCTAAGGCCTTTCGTGCCCAAGCACATCATCAGAGGGGATATCCTTCATCAGTTATTTCTTGGGACTATATATTTTATATCCAGTTAACAACTACGGACTATTTGCCTTTTGCACTTATCTTTTATTACTAAACCGAATTGTCCTGTCTAACATTTCCTGTTAAATCCAGGGGTTTAGTTTGCACACATTTGCAAATTTATGTGCGTAAGCTGCAGGGCCACTTTACGGCACCCTGGTGTACTGCAGTCCCCTAAAGCTATGAATTCTGAGGGTCTCCATAGTTGGAGCACATATATATAATAATGAATAGATTATTAGCGGAGCTCCACCCAAAAGGGGAATTTCCTTTAAGACTTTGTCCCCCCGCTCCTCATTAAGGATTGGCAGCTTTGGGGCACTGGGGGGAGGAAACCCAAATTTGACAGGCACCTGCTCCCACTTCTAGGCGATCGGAAGCAGCAGTTGTCCTCATTCCCTTCCTAAATATTACAAAGCAGGGAGAGCACTAAGGACATTTAGAGTGGTCATGAACGCAAAAGGTTGTTTTTTTACCTGAATGCATTTCAATATTCGCCCAACCCCCCCCCTCCTTAAACCCCGGAGTCCTCTCCATCCATTGCTTTCCCATTGGCTGTCCCTTTTTGGCCTCACAGTAGACTCTGAGAACAGTGGGAGCCAATGATGGCTGTTGCTGTCAGGCCAATCCTGTGTGGCTGAACTGTGCTGTGTCTGTCTATGGACCACACAGCCTTGCTCGGGAGAGCAACCCACACAGATGACCCCATCAGCACATATAAATATGGCAAACGACGACTTCTGTGTTTCCAATGCATCAGGCGGGCTGCTCAGCGTGGGACCTGGAAGCTAGTGGAGATCACTGGAGTAGCCGTGATTTACTTTTGTGATTTCCCATTCCAGCTTCCAGGACCATTGGCCAGGTATAGTATATACTCCCATGTATCTACAATGTAACTATGTGAGAACATACCAAACCTGGAATTCATCTTCACAAAAAGTATTCCGTCTAGATCTTTTCTCAGTGAGGTCACTTCCTTGATTCGCAGCAGCAAATGTGTCGCAAGAGGTATTTGGCTCCATTTGTTACTATGGGGGGGGGGGGGGTTAAACTGAGCATCAATGGCCAATCAGACAATTTCTAGCCATATTCTTGATGATTTTTTTTTTTTTTGTCCCCTTTTCCTCTCTCTCTCTCTCTCTCTCTTTTCTGTATCTCCTCCTCCACTTTGCTTCCTTTCCTCATCTTCTGATTACGCAGACAACCCCGCTGTCTGCACGCCGGCGCTGGTCCATCCAAGTGATTAACGACTTCCCGGTATTGTGCCCCTTTGCGAGTAACCCACCTTTTTGTTCCCCTGCACATCTCTATGAATAGTCAGAGACCCCAAGATCACAATCCTGTCTCTGGAACAACTCTGAGTGTAATGAAGTCCATCGCGGTGGTCCAGATGGTCTGCGCTGAACTTAGAAGTCACCCATAAACTTCCGACCTGCTTTTATGTTGTATCAATTTGCAGGGATTTCCTTTCACTTCCTGTTTTGCAATGGGACAGGAAGTGAAGGTAAATCTTCCCAATGGGACACGCAGGTCACGGTGTGGGCGGCACTGCAGGTCACGGGTGGGCGGCCACTGCAGGTCACGGGTGGGCGGCACTGCAGGTCACGGGTGGGCGGCACTGCAGGTCACGGGGTGGGCGGCACTGCAGGTCACAGATCATCAGTGCCGATCACTTCTCTGACAATTGCCGGTTCTCGGCAGTACATTCCTTGCGCTGTGACAGATGCGAGGAAAGTGCAGCGATAACCAGCAACTGTTTACCCCGGTGATCTGCTGTCATTTGGACACGGCTGATCACGTGGTAAAAGGCCTCTGTGATTGGCCGTTTACCGTATCACTGGGGGCGCGTTCTGGAATGACGTCTTACGGACATCGTCCCAGAACTAGACAACCGCGCTGTAGCGTCTTTCGGCTATGGTGCGGCAGGAAGAGATTGTCCGTTTTTTTTTTTTTTTTTTTTTTTTTTGTTTTTTTTTTGTCCTTTTTTACATCCGCTTTTTGTCTGTTTTTTTTTCGTGCGTTTTACATCCATTTTTTGTCCATTCCGTTTTCTTCGTTCAAAAAAAAGATGCGTACATTAACAGATGTAAGCAGATCATCCGTTTACATCCGCTAGTCCATAGAAGTACATGGGTGTCTGTTTTTCAATCCATAAATGGACAGATTATAAACGGATATACGGAACGCTTTGTGTGAAAGGGGCCTTATACTTAGGTGGATGCTGCCGGTCCCCCCTGCTGGCTCTAAGTGTGAGAACTTGACTGCTGATCGATCGCTGAGTTCTCACAGCCGCAGTGGTGACTCTCAGTGTTATCTACTCTGAAACCCCCCCCCCCCCCTCCATTAATGCAGATCGCACCGCAAAGTATTAATCAGTATCAGGAGTACTTGACCAAAAGTATCTGTACTCGCTGATTGGGGGGGGAAAAAAGGAAAAAAACAGTATTGGTTCATCTAAACACAAAAAGAAGCAGCATTTTTGCAACTTGCACGATTGGACGATGGAAGTCGGCAGAGCTTCCCCGCATTTACTGAGCTCTGGAGCCGCTGCAAAGTGCACCATCTATTTGTTTTTAGTAAATCAGGGCATTGTCGCCCTAACAAGTGATGGTGTTTTGCCCTAAAATTGGTGATAGATGTTCCGGCCCCCCCACTATTGGAAAAGTGATTGCCCGGCCTGAGAGCATCAGTCTCTGACCCGGTACCCTGCCCGCTGACTTCCAGCTTTGAGATGTTGACCATGCAAGTCTGTGCCCCCCCCCCCCCCCCCCCCCCAACTCAGAATGTGGTTCAGAGGCCGCAGTGATTTTTGTTTTTGGGATCTCTGTCTAGTTATTACTTGTTTTTTTTTTTTTTTTCAATTCCTGTAAATCTATCGGGAATGTTACATCTCACTCCGCTGCTCCTATCTGCTCCCCTCTTGTTTGGCGTAGTCTGCTGTCCCTCGGATGCCTGTGTTGCATTGGCTGGATGTTTGCACTCTCTTGCCTGGACACAAACACTCGCTTCTGTCTGGTTTTTTTTTTTTTTGCTGCATTTCGGGTGCTCGTCTCCTCCCCTTGCTCTTCGTTCCTTTCTTTAATTCTCCCACTTGTTGTGCCTGTGAAGTGTCTGACTGGCTATACTGTGCAACCACTGGTGACTGCTCACAGACTTTGTGCCGGTGGGGTTTAATCTGTCAGTGGTGCACAAAATCTGTCCTTCTGGAGTGTGCACTTGGTGTCATCTTGGAGGAAATTGATGGCATGATAACTGGGAGTGGTTTTCTTAAGGTTTTTTTTTGTTGGGTATTTTCTGTCTTGTGGACCTTCATTATGCAAGGTAAGTTGTGACGCTCCACACAACCCAAATTCCCCCCCCCCCCCACCCCCCCCCCCCCCCCCCCCTGCATACATACATACATACCCACACACTCACATTCATTCATACACACACACACACCACACACACACTCATACACTCATTCATACACACACACTCCATTCATTCATACGCACACATGCATACATACATACATACATATACTCACTCACATCATGCATACATACATACATACACACACTCACATTCATTCATACACACACATGCATGCATACATACATACATACATATACTCACTCACTCATGCATACATACACTTACATTCATACATACACACACACTCCCACACTCATTCATACATTCATACACACACACTCCATTCATTCATACGCACGCATGCATGCATGCGTGCGTATGCTAGGAGGGGAGAGATCTTTGCTAGGGAGGCAATTGTGGATTGGGGGGGGGGGGGGACTTTTGCTATGGTGGTGATCTTTGCAGGGGAGGGGGGATTTTTGCTAGGGAGGCGATTTTTGGAGAGGGGAGGGGATTTTTGCTAGAGTTGCGATTTTTCCAGGGGAGAGGGGATTTTTGCTAGAGTGGCGATTTTTGGATGGGGAGAGGGGATTTTTGCTAGGGTGGGCGATTTTGGAAAGGGGGTTGGATTTGTGCAAGCAGCAGGATTTATTTGGGGGGGGGGGGGATTTAGAACCTGCAGACCCCTGAACTCTGCCTCAGAGACTGCATTTTACGGCTTGTTCACCAGGTGCAGGTGCAGCGGTAATGTGCGCGAATTCACGCGTTTTCCTGCACAGACATGTACTGCCGTTTGCAGAATGGAGTTGGCTTCATACCTGGAGATGAAGAGAGAATCCAGGAGGGAGAAGGTGTGTTTTTTGTTTTTTTTTTTTTCTTTTGGTCAGGGATAGAACTTTGTGTTGTATTCTCTGGGCGACTGGCAGCCAATGGGAGGACATTTAGTATTCCCACCTGAGAGATGGGCGGGATTCCATTGTCTCCAGTAAATGTATGTAGTCCATTGTCCGCCAGATGACATGTAATCGTTATAGATGTCCCCTCCCCCCTCTTCCCCTCCCCCGAGACTGATTTTCCTCTTTTTACAGAATAAACTAACATTGATTTTTTTTTTTGTCCATCTTCTGTATCCCCAGAAATCTCGCCGTTGGAAATCCAAGAGAGAGAGTAGCGACTCCAGCTCCCGGCCAATCAAAGCAGCCGGGAAAGTGATCATCCAGGATATTTCCTGTCTGCTCACCGTGCACAAAGCTCTGGGAGAGATGTACATGTGAGTGTTGTGGACACGTCTGGAGGCGTGGCCTCTGAGCCACTTGGCGTGTATTTTTATATAGTTACATAGTTAGTTTGGCTGAAAAAAAGACAAAAGTCCATCCAGTTCAACCATAAAAAAAAAAGTTATAATCCTCCACCCACAATGGATCCAGAGAAAGGCAGAAACCCAGAAAAGCACGATCCAATCTCCTCCTGCAGGGGAAACAATTCCTTCCTGATCCCCGAGAGCCAATCGGATATTCCCTGGATCAACTTTCCCTATAAATGTTATATCCAGTTATATTCTGTGTATCCAAGAAAGAATCCAGGACTTTCCTACAGCAATCCACTGAGCTGGCCACAACCAACTCTGGAGGGAGTCTATTCCACATTCTCACCGCTCTTACTGTGAAGAAACCTTTCCGTGTTTGGAGATTACATTTCTTTTCCTCCAGACGTAAAGAGCGCCCCCTTGTCCTCTGGGATGACCTCAGGGTGGATGTCTCTTGTGCCGGCACATCCCCGGCTCCTTAGGAGCCCGGCGCGGCACATCCCCGGCTCCTTAGGAGCCCGGCTCGGCACATCCCCGGCTCCTTAGGAGCCCGGCTCGGCACATCCCCGGCTCCTTAGGAGCCCGGCTCGGCACATCCCCGGCTCCTTAGGAGCCCGGCTCGGCACATCCCCGGCTCCTTAGGAGCCCGGCTCGGCACATCCCCGGCTCCTTAGGAGCCCGGCTCGGCACATCCCCGGCTCCTTAGGAGCCCGGCTCGGCACATCCCCGGCTCCTTAGGAGCCCGGCTCGGCACATCCCCGGCTCCTTAGGAGCCCGGCTCGGCACATCCCCGGCTCCTTAGGAGCCCGGCTCGGCACATCCCCGGCTCCTTAGGAGCCCGGCTCGGCACATCCCCGGCTCCTTAGGTGCCCGGCTCGGCACATCCCCGGCTCCTTAGGAGCCCCGGCTCGGCACATCCCCGGCTCCTTAGGAGCCCGGCTCGGCACATCCCCGGCTCCTTAGGAGCCCGGCTCGGCACATCCCCGGCTCCTTAGGAGCCCGGCTCGGCACATCCCCGGCTCCTTAGGAGCCCGGCGCGGCACATCCCCGGCTCCTTAGGAGCCCGGCGCGGCACATCCCCGGCTCCTTAGGAGCCCGGCGCGGCACATCCCCGGCTCCTTAGGAGCCCGGCGCGGCACATCCCCGGCTCCTTAGGAGCCCGGCGCGGCACATCCCCGGCTCCTTAGGAGCCCGGCTCGGCGGCACATCCCCGGCTCCTTAGGAGCCCGGCTCGGCGGCACATCCCGGCTCCTTAGGAGCCCGGCTCGGCGGCACATCCCCGGCTCCTCAGGAGCCCGGCTCGGCGGCACATCCCCGGCTCCTTAGGAGCCCGGCTCGGCGGCACATCCCCGGCTCCTTAGGAGCCCGGCTCGGCGGCACATCCCCGGCTCCTTAGGAGCCCGGCTCGGCGGCACATCCCCGGCTCCTTAGGAGCCCGGCTCGGCGGCACATCCCCGGCTCCTTAGGAGCCCGGCTCGGCGGCACATCCCCGGCTCCTTAGGAGCCCGGCTCGGCGGCACATCCCCGGCTCCTTAGGAGCCCGGCTCGGCGGCACATCCCCGGCTCCTTAGGAGCCCGGCTCGGCGGCACATCCCCGGCTCCTTAGGAGCCCGGCTCGGCGGCACATCCCCGGCTCCTTAGGAGCCCGGCTCGGCGGCACATCCCCGGCTCCTTAGGAGCCCGGCTCGGCAGTACCCTTGTTCGGCACATCCCCGGCTCGGCAGTACCCTTGTTCGGCACATCCCCGGCTCGGCAGTACCCTTGTTCGGCACATCCCCGGCTCGGCAGTACCCTTGTTCGGCACATCCCCGGCTCGGCAGTACCCTTGTTCGGCACATCCCCGGCTCGGCAGTACCCTTGTTCGGCACATCCCCGGCTCGGCAGTACCCACAGGTCTTTTGATGCCCCACTCATTAGTAACCCCCAGCTCTGCTGATCATCTGGTTTGCTGATTCTCCTTTATCCAGTCTTTGCTTAACTCTGGCTATATTGCTGCCATGCTGCACACTGCGTTTCTCCCACCCTGGTCCCCCAGCTCTGCTGATCCTCTCTCTCCAGTCCCCACTCACCTTTTACCAAGCTAGTGAAGGGCAGGCCGATCTTGGATCAGTATTTTGCTTTTATGACGGTGATATCATTATATATTCTTTTTTTTCTGTTCAGATTGAACCGCGGAAACCTCCAGGAGATGTGTCAGAAGAATGCCGCTTCGGCTCTCAGTGTTGGCCGCAAGGATCTGGTGCAGGTAATGGGCGGGGTGTAGAATGGGCGGGGTGTAGAATGGGCGGGGTGTAGAATGGGCCGTATATATAATGTGCAGTGTATGTATACCTCACGGTCCCATCATGATGCCCGCCTCGTCTTTTCCTCGGCTCCGGCTTGTTTCCCATGTTGTCGCTTTTCTCCGTCAGGTTTGGGCTTTGGCTGCTGCTGCCAATGACATGTGTCTGACCCCCAAGTCTGACCCCGATGTAGAAATTCCCTGGGCACATCACCCATTTGGTCGGCAACTCCTGGAATCACTGTGAGTCTTTTGGGTTAAAAAAAAATGTTTAAAAAATATGATCTAGCATTAAAAAACATTCTACTGAAAATTGTTTTTTTTTTATCTGTTTGATAAGTGCAATATAACTGCCAATTGATCCTGCCAGAAATCTTGTGAGTGGATACCTTCCTGTGGTCTCTTACTCTGCTGACTGTTATCAGCATGTTCCCAGCTAGCTCTGTAGACCAGAGGCCTCCAAGCTGCAGTCCATGGCCCAAATGTGGCCCTTTGCTTGCCTTTACTCGGGCCTTGGGGCACTATTCCTCCCACATATATGAGGCACTTGTACCAACAATGGGCCACTACTCCTCCAACTGAAACCAATGATGGGGTACTATTCCTTCTACTGACACCAGGGATGAGGCACTATTCCTTCCATTGATGGGACACTATTCCTCCCACTGACACCATTGAGGGGGCACTATTCCTCCCACTGACACCATTGAGGGGGTGCTCTTCCTTCCATTGACACCATTGAGGGGGCACTATTCCTCCCACTGACATCATTGAGGGGGTGCTCTTCCCCGCGCTGACACCGGCGATGGGGCGCTCTTCCCCGCGCTGACACCGGCGATGGGGCGCTCTTCCCCGCGCTGACACCGGCGATGGGGCGCTCTTCCCCGCGCTGACACCGGCGATGGGGCGCTCTTCCCCGCGCTGACACCGGCGATGGGGCGCTCTTCCCCCCGCGCTGACACCGGCGATGGGGCGCTCTTCCCCGCGCTGACACCGGCGATGGGGCGCTCTGATACTGGGGCATTTTCTACTCCCAGTGGCCACAGTCTGGCCCCCCTCATCTCTGAAGGACAGTAAACTGGCCCTTTGTTTAAAAAGCTTGGAGGCCCCTGCTGTAGACTACAAAGCACCGTATGGAGAGGAGAAGGGGGGGTGTTCTATAGTACTGTACTCGGGTGACAACGCTGCACCCCCATATATGTAGTACAGTGAGTAACCATTGACAGCCTAGAAGAGGAAGTGTGGCTGGCAGAATCACCAGGTAAAAGTAAACTAATGCAGCCGTCACATTCTAGGCTGCTAAGCTGCTTCTATTACATTTTTTTCTCTTGTGGTTAGAAATGTTTGAGGTATAAAATACTAGACCGTTAAACATCATGGCTTCCCTGCGTCATGTGCTCCCTGTGGCTTCCCTGCGTCATGTGCTCCCTGTGTCTTCCCTGCGTCATGTGCTCCCTGTGTCTTCCCTGCGTCATGTGCTCCCTGTGTCTTCCCTGCGTCATGTGCTCCCTGTGTCTTCCCTGCGTCATGTGCTCCCTGCGCCTTCCCTGCGTCATGTGCTCCCTGTGGCTTCCCTGTGTCATGTGCTCCCCGCGGCTTCCCTGCGTCATGTGCTCCCCGCGGCTTCCCTGCGTCATGTGCTCCCCGCGGCTTCCCTGCGTCATGTGCTCCCCGCGGCTTCCCTGCGTCATGTGCTCCCCGCGGCTTCCCTGCGTCATGTGCTCCCCGCGGCTTCCCTGCGTCATGTGCTCCCCGCGGCTTCCCTGCGTCATGTGCTCCCCGCGGCTTCCCTGCGTCATGTGCTCCCCGCGGCTTCCCTGCGTCGTGCTCCCCGCGGCTTCCCTGCGTCATGTGCTCCCCGTGCCTTCCCTGCGTCATGTGCTCCCCGCGCCTTCCCTGCGTCATGTGCTCCCCGCGCCTTCCCTGCGTCATGTGCTCCCCGCGCCTTCCCTGCGTCATGTGCTCCCCGCGCCTTCCCTGCGTCATGTGCTCCCCGCGCCTTCCCTGCGTCATGTGCTCCCCGCGCCTTCCCTGCGTCATGTGCTCCCCGCGCCTTCCCTGCGTCATGTGCTCCCCGCGCCTTCCCTGCGTCATGTGCTCCCCGCGCCTTCCCTGCGTCATGTGCTCCCCGCGCCTTCCCTGCGTCCTATGACCCGCATTCTGTGTTCTTACAGGCTGGCCCATTACTGCCACCTTCACGATGTCCAGACCTTGGCCATGCTGTGTAGTATGTTTGACGTCCATCTTCAACCCCAAGGCAATGGCGTGTCGTCCTGCCACCCGTTCCCTTCCCGCTCCAGCCACAGCCGATATGTAAGTCTCCCGCTCTCCTCTTTCCACCACTTCCATTGGCAAGGATGATAATACTCATTGCGTGTTCTGTTGTTTTCAGCCCAGTTTCACGTCCTCTGGTTCCGGGTCCAGCATGTCCGATCCAGGCTTTGGTACCGGCGGCTGGAGCGGTGGTAAGACTTGGCTTTATCTGTGGTTACCACTATAGGCGTGGCTATGGGCAAGGTGCCGCTCAGTAGAGGATAATGACCACTTTCCCTCCGTCGTCTGGCTACAGGGCGGCATTACTGTGCAAAATCACACAAATAACTATCATTTTGCACCTCCGCCGCAGGGGGGGGGGGGGGGGGGGGGTCGGCACGTGCTGCTAGAGAAAATCTTCCGCTGTAAGCTGTCAGCACAAAATGATCTACAAGCCTCAGCGAGCGCCTGCAGATCGTCGGTCGGGGAGGAAGAACAGAGCTGTGTCTGTCTGCATATATACAGTTCTGTTGTGACAGGAGAAAGTCATGAATCGCGTCTCTCTGCAGAGCTGAGAACACGATCCATCACTTCCCCTAGTAAAAGCACCACCTAGTGTACACCAAGCACATAGCTAGGCACACAACCCTTTGATCACCCTAGATGTTAACCCCTTTCCAACCGGTGTCATTAGTACAGTGATGAGTATATATTTTTTTTTGCAGTGATCACTGTATTGGTGTCACTGGTTTCCACAAAGTGTCAGTGTAAAAAGGTCTGCAGCAATATTGCAGTCCAGCTATATCCACTCTCCCGGACCCCGTGTTCACTATATCCGCACTCTCCCGGACCCCGCATTCACTATATCCGCTCTCCCCGGACCCCGCGTTCACTATATCCGCACTCTCCCGGACCCCGCATTCACTATATCCGCTCTCCCCGGACCCCGCGTTCACTATATCCGCTCCCCCGGACCCCGCGTTTACTATATCCGCTCTCCCCCCGGACCCCGCGTTCACTATATCCGCTCTCCCCGGACCCCGCGTTCACTATATCCGCTCTCCCCGGACCCCGCGTTCACTATATCCGCTCTCCCCGGACCCCGCGTTCACTATATCCGCTCTCCCCGGACCCCGCGTTCACTATATCCGCTCTCCCCGGACCCCGCGTTCACTATATCCGCTCTCCCCGGACCCCGCGTTCACTATATCCGCTCTCCCCGGACCCCGCGTTCACTATATCCGCTCTCCCCGGACCCCGCGTTCACTATATCCGCTCTCCCCGGACCCCGCGTTCACTATATCCGCTCTCCCCGGGCCCCGCCTTCACTATATCCGCTCTCCCCGGGCCCCGCCTTCACTATATCCGCTCTCCCCGGGCCCCGCGTTCACTATATCCGCTCTCCCCGGGCCCCGCGTTCACTATATCCGCACTCTCCCGGACCCCGCGTTCACTATATCCGCTCTCCCCGGACCCCGCGTTCACTATATCCGCTCTCCCCGGACCCCGCGTTCACTATATCCGCTCTCCCCGGACCCCGCGTTCACTATATCCGCTCTCCCCGGACCCCGCGTTCACTATATCCGCTCTCCCCGGACCCCCGCGTTCACTATATCCGCTCTCCCCGGACCCCGCGTTCACTATATCCGCACTCTCCCGGACCCCGCGTTCACTATATCCGCTCTCCCCGGACCCCGCGTTCACTATATCCGCTCTCCCCGGACCCCGCGTTCACTATATCCGCTCTCCCCGGACCCCGCGTTCACTATATCCGCTCTCCCCGGACCCCGCGTTCACTATATCCGCTCTCCCCCGGACCCCGCGTTCACTATATCCGCTCTCCCCGGACCCCGCGTTCACTATATCCGCTCTCCCCCCGGACCCCGCGTTCACTATATCCGCTCTCCCCGGACCCCGCGTTCACTATATCCGCTCTCCCCGGACCCCGCGTTCACTATATCCGCTCTCCCCGGACCCCGCGTTCACTATATCCGCTCTCCCCGGACCCCGCGTTCACTATATCCGCTCTCCCCGGACCCCGCGTTCACTATATCCGCTCTCCCCGGACCCCGCGTTCACTATATCCGCTCTCCCCGGACCCCGCGTTCACTATATCCGCTCTCCCCGGACCCCGCGTTCACTATATCCGCTCTCCCCGGACCCCGCGTTCACTATATCCGCTCTCCCCGGACCCCGCGTTCACTATATCCGCTCTCCCCCGGACCCCGCGTTCACTATATCCGCTCTCCCCGGCCCCCCGGGCCCCGCCTTCACTATATCCGCTCTCCCCGGGCCCCGCCTTCACAATATCCGCTCTCCCCGGGCCCCGCCTTCACAATATCCGCTCTCCCCGGGCCCCGCGTTCACTATATCCGCTCTCCCCGGACCCCGCGTTCACTATATCCGCACTCTCCCCGGACCCCGCGTTCACTATATCCGCTCTCCCCGGACCCCGCGTTCACTATATCCGCTCTCCCCGGACCCCGCGTTCACTATATCCGCTCTCCCCGGACCCCGCGTTCACTATATCCGCTCTCCCCCGGACCCCGCGTTCACTATATCCGCTCTCCCCGGACCCCGCGTTCACTATATCCGCTCTCCCCGGACCCCGCGTTCACTATATCCGCTCTCCCCGGACCCCGCGTTCACTATATCCGCTCTCCCCCGGCCCCGCCCCCGCTCTCCCCGGGCCCCGCGTTCACTATATCCGCTCTCCCCGGGCCCCGCGTTCACTATATCCGCTCTCCCCGGGCCCCGCGTTCACTATATCCGCTCTCCCCGGGCCCCGCCTTCACTATATCCGCTCTCCCCGGGCCCCGCCTTCACTATATCCGCTCTCCCCGGGCCCCGCCTTCACTATATCCGCTCTCCCCGGGCCCCGCCTTCACTATATCCGCTCTCCCCCGGGCCCCGCCTTCACTATATCCGCTCTCCCCGGGCCCCGCCTTCACTATATCCGCTCTCCCCCCGGGCCCGCCTTCACTATATCCGCCGCTCTCCCCCGGGCCCCGCCTTCACTATATCCGCTCTCCCCGGGGCCCCGCCTTCACTATATCCGCTCTCCCCCGGGCCCCGCCTTCACTATATCCGCTCTCCCCGGCCCCGCCTTCACTATATCCGCTCTCCCCGGGCCCCGCCTTCACATATCCGCTATCCCCGGGCCCCGCCTCACTATATCCGCTCTCCCCGGGCCCCGCCTTCACTATATCCGCTCTCCCCGGGCCCCGCCTTCACTATATCCGCTCTCCCCGGGCCCCGCCTTCACTATATCCGCTCTCCCCGGGCCCCGCCTTCACTATATCCGCTCTCCCCGGGCCCCGCCTTCACTATATCCGCTCTCCCCGGGCCCCGCCTTCACTATATCCGCTCTCCCCGGGCCCCGCCTTCACTATATCCGCTCTCCCCGGGCCCCGCCTTCACTATATCCGCTCTCCCCGGGCCCCGCCTTCACTATATCCGCTCTCCCCGGGCCCCGCCTTCACTATATCCGCTCTCCCCGGGCCCCGCCTTCACTATATCCGCTCTCCCCGGGCCCCGCCTTCACTATATCCGCTCTCCCCGGGCCCCGCCTTCACTATATCCGCTCTCCCCGGGCCCCGCCTTCACTATATCCGCTCTCCCCGGGCCCCGCCTTCACTATATCCGCTCTCCCCGGGCCCCGCCTTCACTATATCCGCTCTCCCCGGGCCCCGCCTTCACTATATCCGCTCTCCCCGGGCCCCGCCTTCACTATATCCGCTCTCCCCGGGCCCCGCCTTCACTATATCCGCTCTCCCCGGGCCCCGCCTTCACTATATCCGCTCTCCCCGGGCCCCGCCTTCACTATATCCGCTCTCCCCGGGCCCCGCCTTCACTATATCCGCTCTCCCCGGGCCCCGCCTTCACTATATCCGCTCTCCCCGGGCCCCGCCTTCACTATATCCGCTCTCCCCGGGCCCCGCCTTCACTATATCCGCTCTCCCCGGGCCCCGCCTTCACTATATCCGCTCTCCCCGGGCCCCGCCTTCACTATATCCGCTCTCCCCGGGCCCCGCCTTCACTATATCCGCTCTCCCCGGGCCCCGCCTTCACTATATCCGCTCCCCCCGGGCCCCGCCTTCACTATATCCGCTCTCCCCGGGCCCCGCCTTCACTATATCCGCTCTCCCCGGGCCCCGCCTTCACTGTATCCCCGGACCTCGCCTTCACTATATCCGCTCTCCCCGGACCTCGCCTTCACTGTATCCCCGGGCCCGCCTTCACTGTATCCCCGGGCCCCGCCTTCACTGTATCCCCGGGCCCTCCTTCACTGTATCCCCGGACCTCGCCTTCACTGTATCCCCGGACCTCGCCTTCACTATATCCCCGGGCCCCGCCTTCACTATATCCCCGGGCCCCGCCTTCACTATATCCCCGACCCCGCCTTCACTGTATACCTCTCTGTGGACAGTGCTGATCACATGCTCCCTCCCAAAGCAAAATAAACCACTCTAGCAATACACACCAAACTGAGCATGTGCAAAGTGTCTCCACACAATATGTCTTATCAGGAGATAAGAGGGGGACACTAGAAGAAGGGGAGGATCAGAGATGACAGGATCAAACAGCCTTTTTAAACAATGCAGAGGATTAACCCCTTAGGTTCCACAGTGAGTATAACCAGCATGCTTTGCTGCATCTCCAGACTGATGTCACTGTTGGGGGTTCAGGAACACTTTGATGTAGGCGTCCGTGTCCCTATTATTATATATGTTCTTGTTTGGACAGGAGGACAAGATGGTGACCACCCATGGGGCGACCCTTCTCCTGATGACTACCGCTACAACAATATAAACTATGTGGACCCTCGGGAACGGGAGAAAGAACAACACGACAAGAATAAAAGGTTATCAATTGGAGGGGGGGGGGGATATTTCACTGACCGGGGGGGTGGGGGGGGGTTGGGGGGGGAATTCACTAACGGTCTTTTCAAAATTGTCGGGTTTTCTTTGTTTATACCACAAAAAATAAACGCCGAGGCGATCAAATACCACTGAAATAAGGTTCTATTTGTGGGGAAAAGAGGACATAAATGTCATTTGGGTGCAGTGTTGCACGACCGCGCAATTGTCAGTTAAAGTAATGTAGCGCCATATTGCAAACAATGGCCAGGTCAGGAAGGGGGGGGCGCCTCTGTAGGGCGAGGGGTTCAATAGCCGGTTTATACTTACCTGCAGTGGAGTTGCACAGAGTGGCCCCGATCCTCCTCTTCTCTAGTCCCCCCACTGGTGTTCTTGACTCCTTTTTCTCTGACTTGTCTCCATAGAAAGCCGCTTTCTATGGCGGCACTCGTTTGGGCTCACTCCTGAGCCCCGCTGTCTGCTTCTATAGAAACAGCGAGATTCAGCCCCGCCTCCCCCCCCCCCCCCCCATCACTGATTTGGAGTGACAGCTGTGGAAGCCAATGGCTGCCTTAGCAAAGCAAGCAAGATCAGGAAGTTAGCGCAGAGAAGAGCTGCAGAAAGGAACAGCACTGGGTCAGATAATTTCATTTCCATGTTCTGTGTACTGTGGGAGGGCGGATAGAGTGAACGCGGGGTCCGGGGAGGGCGGATAGAGTGAACGCGGGGTCCGGGGAGGGCGGATAGGGTGAACGCGGGGTCCGGGGAGGGCGGATAGGGTGAACGCGGGGTCCGGGGAGGGCGGATAGGGTGAACGCGGGGTCCGGGTGAGGGCGGATAGGGTGAACGCGGGGTCCGGGAGGGGCGGATAGGGTGAACGCGGGGTCCGGGGAGGGGCGGATAGGGTGAACGCGGGGTCCGGGGAGGGCGGATAGGGTGAACGCGGGGTCCGGGAGGGGCGGATAGGGTGAACGCGGGGGTCCGGGGAGGGGCGGATAGGGTGAACGCGGGGTCCGGGGAGGGGCGGATAGGGTGAACGCGGGGTCCGGGGAGGGGCGGATAGGGTGAACGCGGGTCCGGGGAGGGGCGGATAGGGTGAACGCGGGGTCCGGGGAGGGGCGGATAGGGTGAACGCGGGGTCCGGGGAGGGGCGGATAGGGTGAACGCGGGGTCCGGGGAGGGGGGGCGGATAGGGTGAACGCGGGGTCCGGGGAGGGCGGATAGGGTGAACGCGGGGTCCGGGGAGGGCGGATAGGGTGAACGCGGGGTCCGGGGAGGGGCGGATAGGGTGAACGCGGGGTCCGGGGAGGGGCGGATAGGGTGAACGCGGGGTCCGGGGAGGGGCGGATAGGGTGAACCGCGGGGTCCGGGGAGGGGCGGATAGGGTGAACGCGGGGTCCGGGGAGGGGCGGATAGGGTGAACGCGGGGTCCGGGGAGGGGCGGATAGGGTGAACGCGGGGTCCGGGGAGGGGCGGATAGGGTGAACGCGGGGTCCGGGGAGGGGCGGATAGGGTGAACGCGGGGTCCGGGGAGGGGCGGATAGGGTGAACGCGGGGTCCGGGGAGGGGCGGATAGGGTGAACGCGGGGTCCGGGGAGGGGCGGATAGGGTGAACGCGGGTGTCCGGGGGGGCGGATACGGTGAACTCGGGTCCAGGGTTTAGTAACTCAGTGACTTTTTTTCTGATACTTTTTTTTTCTTAAACTCCTTCTCAGAATTTTGGACCCAGCGAATGCTCAGCAGTTTGATGACTTTAAGAAGTGTTATGGAGAGATCTTGTACCGCTGGGGTCTGCAGGAGAAGAGGGCTGAAGTTCTAAAATTTGTCTCGTGTCCTCCAGAGCCACACCGTGGCATTGGTGAGTGTTATGTGGACAGACGTTTAAAGGACAACCAACAATATCCATAATTACAGAAAACGGATACATTTAGGAATCCAGTGATGTACACTATATTGCCAGAAATATTGTCTATTGTTTAACTGCCTGAAAAAAATAAATACATTTTATATATATAATATATTTTTTTTTTTAAAGCAGTTAAACAATAGACAATATTTCTGGCAATATATTGTACATCACTGGATTCCTAAATGTAACTGTTTCTGTAATTTTTTTTTTTCAAGGCAGTTAAACATTCTCTAAACTTCCTTAAAATAAAAAAATAATTTGCTTTTTATTTATTTTTTTTTAAGGACTTTTTAGAAAATGTTTTATTTATTTTAGAGTCCACCTATTGCAAAAAGTAGTATATGTAACAACATTGATCACAGGGTTAATGTGCATTTACTTGAAAAAAGTAAAATAAATATATGTGTATTATTAATAATAATATAATTATATTTTTTTTTTCTTTTTTCTGTTTTGTTCTTTTTAAGGCAGTGTAGCAAATTATTTTTTTTTTTTTTTGTTTTTTTTGTTAAAGGCCACCAGTCCACCTATTGCACAAAGTCAGGGGCGGACTGACCATTTGGAAACTCGGGCACTGCCCGAGGGCCCGGGGTCAGTAGGGGGCCCCATGAGATGCCCCTGGTACCTTTTTCATAGGCTTTTTTGAGTTTGGGCAAGGACACAGGGGCCCCATGATCCCCTATTGCCCGGGGCCCCATGAGTTGTCAGTCTGCCCCTGCACAAAGTAGTAAATGTAGTAAAATTGACCGCAGGGTTAATGTGCATTTACTTTTTTTTTTTTTTTTTTTTAATATATATTAATAATATTATTTTCTAATAATTATTTTTATTATGTTTTTTTTTTTAAAAGGACAGCAGTCCATCTATTTCAAAAAGTATAAATGTAGCAAAATTGATCGCAGGGTTAATGTGCATTTAAAAAAAAAAAAATGGAATCCTGCCAAGCATTGCGCCCTGATGATCAGTGTGTCTCGGATGCGATGCGCAGACTCTTCTAGTGTCCTCGGACCACCTTGTTATGAAGTGTTGATGGACAGATGCAGTGATGCCGCCACCCCCCCGGTGCTGCCTGTAGACTTTGGGTGAGGTGGATCCTAAATATCAGGATTCTCCAGTATAAGACGTCATGTGATTCAGGGCGGGGGGGGGGGGGGGCTTTCAGGGTCTGCGCATGGTTACAGTTCCTCATGTTCTGCCCTAATAATGGGTTTTGTCATAAAACCATAAAACACGGAATGTTCCTATAAAAACATTAGTAACATCGTAACATTTATTTCGGTTGGCAATTAGTCGAGTTATTTCAAGTTTTTTTTTTTTGCTGGCCCAGCTACATTTAGTATTGGAACTGAAGATCTTGTGTGTCATCCGGCTTTCATTGTGCTGAAATGATTTTGGATTCATGTCATAATTTTCAGTTTGAATTTTTTGTTTCCTCACCATGCGTCCTTTTTTTTTTTTTTTTTCTATTTCCTCCTCCAGAATTTGGCGTGTATTGCAGCCACTGCCGCAGTGAGGTGCGGGGAACGCAGTGCGCCATCTGCAAGGGATTCACCTTCCAGTGCGCCATCTGCCACGTGTCTGTCCGGGGCTCCTCCAACTTCTGCCTCAGCTGCGGTCACGGCGGGCACACCGCGCACATGTTGGAATGGTTCAGCTCGCAGGAAGTCTGCCCAACCGGCTGCGGATGCCATTGTCTGTTGGAGAGCACCTTCTGA